AAAATCTTTTGCATCGTCAATCTTTTGAAAAGCATTTCTACGCGACTATTTATAAATCTTACGAATTTGAAGTTATAAAGACGAATTCATTTTTGCAGAATAATCTTAGCACAACTGATATACGCATATTATATGCACATAAAAATACACATTCATTCACATAATTCATCAAAGACTCTCATATTATCATGTCAACGCTCACAAGAGAAATTCGCTCGATGAAAGCCAAAAATATTTTCAGAGAGAGTTTCTGGTTAATCATTCATTTAAATAAGTACACACAATGGAATGACAAAAAGAATATGAACTTCAGTGACAATATTATTATTGCGGTGCTGAAATCGATCCAGTAAAGTGATCAATGACTTATAGATAGATATGTAATGAAACAACGAAACAGCCTCTGGCAATACAGCAGACTAAAGCGACAATGGGAGGGAGGAATACTGATAAAGCCAAGCAAAATTCTAAAAGATAACGAATGCCTCACCTGCAGATCGGTGTTCAAAACCATGATCTTTTCGGTGGATATGAATAAATCTATATCCGTGCTCGGTTGTATCTCACCAGCTGGTGCCTCAAAAATCATCATTATTCGTATTTATTATTACGGCTATTGTTCGATATCAGTAGCAATACGAACCTTGACCCTTGCAACAGCTTCTTGTGCTTGCATCATACGACTCGTTTTCGTCGGACGTCCCTCGCAAATCAGTTGCGTTGAGCCAAGATAACGAGCTCGGAATAGAACGCCTTCAATGAGCACAGCCGGTTCGTGCACAATCACTGCATGAAACGACTGATCATTACAAACCTTAGCATTCGAACCCAAATTACATCACATTTCCATTCACAGATTCGTTATTCCCTGCAGCACTCGAAACGTTTCCGTTATTCTGCATGATGAATGCGCAACGTTTTCAAGTGAATGATACTATTGGAACGTTTCAACTTTAAAGTGAACAATCCACCTACCATATAAAATACGCACTTCAAAAGAAATGAGCTTACCCTCTTTCTTGGATGCTTTCTTGGTGCGTTGTTCATTATCGCCATGATCATTATTCGTTAATAAGCGGTCTGTTTCGTCAACGGTCTCATCCCTCGTGTTATCAATTTCTGAATGTTGCTTACTCAAGTTCACGTCCGTCAAAAAAAAAGAAAATAAACTATCTATTACGTTACACAACCCGTTTAATTTTCAATTGTATTAATTTGAACTTCATCAGCTTCCTGACTATTAAGACGAGTGCAACACGCATATGTAAATACTACATACACAAACATATACAAACTTACTTTCAGCTGATAACTGCGGTTCAGACAAATTTTCATTATTGCGCCCTTCTCTTTGCATTCGTTTCAAATATGAATCACTTAAAATAATCAATCAATAGTTGGTCATTTATTAAAAGCAAAATGATGTGGCAACTCTAAATAACCGCAATAACTCACAATAACCAATCAACATACCGCATAACCCAAACAGGCTCACTGTCGTCACTGGTTTCACACCTCTTAGTGGTTGTTGCACTGTTGTGTCGTTTTTCAATTTCGTTCCAACCACTATCATCAGGCCAATTGTGTTGGGTTGTTTTTTGTGGCTGATGATCATTATGCTTTAAAATAAGCATGCAACTCTAATCGCTTCATTCATTCAGTGAGTAATTATTCACCGCATTAGTTCAGAACGATATTACCTGTTTTTAGTACAGCTACTACATTTTGTACACATAAAACAAATCTTTGACATTTCTGAACATAAACACGAGCTGAAAGCTTGCCGATGCACTAAACGTTCGATAAATCTCAATTCATTTGAAACAGTTGCTGTTTAGAGAATATCATAAGTATGAACATTATTCAATAAATGAACCATACCGATTTGACAGCAACTGAAGAGGACGAAGATGATTCAGATGTGGTGGCAGGTTGTGCTCGTTTTGACGAGCTGGAATGTTGAGAAGGGGCTAATGTCATGAACGAATGATTACTGGAAGTATTATTGGGGTTTGTGTGGGGTGGTGGCAGAATGGTTTGTTGATTATTGGAACGATGCGATGTTGTTGTGCTGTTGTCGTTGGAATGCAACTGATTATCGTGACGTTGTGGCGGTGATTGCTTTGACGAGGACGTCGACTCGTTATTGTTCAACTGAAACGCTGCGGCAGCTGCTGCTGCTGCGGCTGCAGCTGCGGGCAGTGGGAATAAAGCCATCTGTTGACTCTGCTGTTGAAACTGCTGTAGTAACGCTGCGGCCAACTGAATCAACTTCTTCTTTCTTTTGAGAAAACATTGCGCGAAAATTATACTTTCAAAATGCTAGAAGCGCACTGATTCATGCAATGACACATCACTAGTTTCAGTTAAAAATGGATACATATTCATAATAATAATATGATTCACATCCCAAAGGTAAATTACAAGTGATTGATGCACCACCTACCTGTGGTGTTACCGCAGTTGGTTGTTGATTTGCAGTGGCTGAGAAGAACGCTGGAAAATAAGGAGTGGGAAAACAAGGTGGAGCTGTTGGAATGCTGCCTGGTGGTTGTTGGTGGAATGATAGGTGCTGTTGATTTTGTTGTGGGAAGTGATTGTGGAATATTGACTGTTGGTTGCATTGCAATTGATTGGGAAACGACGAAGATGACGATAAACAATAGGAACTGTTCAGTGTCGGCTTTTGTCTCATCGATGATTCGACAGCCACTGACGGATCGCTTATGCCGAACGGTAATGCAGCCTGAAACATTCCGCAGTTATCATTCGTCATCACAACTATCGCTCAACAACGACATGCCAATCCATTTCCTTTTAATGCACTTCACCACGTGAAGACAACAACCAAAAAAGTCGCTTCTGAAACAACACTGCAAACAAAACACCAAAAATAACCATTCAAACGATGACGATAGCAAAGACGACGATGAATCGTCGTTTATAGAGGTAAGCGATGATGAGTTTATATAAATGACATGCAATATCACACATTACGTGCTTACAAACAAAACATGAACAATGAACCTACAACAACCAATCATATACGTTCAATAACCTCATTAACAGATGGATTAAAGGTTGATGTGGCTGTGCGGTGTGCACTACCAACCAAGCAATGATCACTGTTTGCATTGCTTAACAACTGTGCTAACTCTTTTTCATCAATCTGAAACCATCGATGAAAAGAAACCGTTCTGTAGTGATCGAACCGAACCGATTTCGAATTCACTATACGGATGATCCGTTTTCACTAATTTAACTGCATTTCTAATCGACGCAATGATGACACGACGGCTGATGAAAGTTACCACATGACTGGTCGAGAATAACTTGAACATTTATACATATGAAGAGCTGACTGATCAATTCAGCTTAAGCTATTTCTTTGTTCTCGAAAACAACAACGAAAGACAAATGAAAAAGTTGATAAACATTAGTCAATAAACTTCTCAACACAATAACAGGACAACTGACAGATAGACGTACAACGAACCTTCTTGATATTCTTGTTCTGTATGCGACGATTAATTTCCTTATCAATTTCATTCATTTGCTTCTTGATAAGTACCGACGTACCACAGTCACTATGTGCTTGTGACAAGGATGATGCTGTTTGTTGCTGTAAGAGTTGTTGGGCTTGCGATTGTCGTTTAGATGCTTCATCAGCATTCCTATTACTGACACTGCACCTCGTATCTTCATCTTTTGACAACGACTTGTTGGCTGCTGATAATGATAACGAGCCCATTTTGTCAACTGACAAACAATGTGCCGTATTCAACAACCGTCCTTCTTCTTGTTCCATTTCGTTCCTAGCTTCATTAAGATCTTCATCACATTTATCTGCTGCTACTGCTGGTTCTGTCACATCTTTATCTGTACCACAATCACGCACATTCTTCAGAACTTCACCGCTTGAGCATGCTTCTACATCAGCGTCCTCCACTCTACCATCGATATTCTTTTCGTCATTTCTCGATTCGTCAACCTAAAACCACTTTACTAAAATCACATCACACTTGAATCAATTCTTTTCTCTTTTCACTCAATTACCATAACACCACAAAACACGAAATAAGAATCAACAAGCCAATTAATTTTTTACCTTATCACTAACAACTTCATTCGCTTCAACTTTTGTTTCCAACAAGATTTCCTCTCTTCGTTCTGAAATACAAAAATTCCATCAATATGAAGGAATAATAATAATAAACAGACCGAAACATGATCACCGAATAAACGACTGTCTGAAAATTGATATTAAAGTTTTACGAGAAACAGTAAACGCGTCAAGAAGAGTATCGAAATTACATTAAGGCATCAATGGCAACCGTTGAGAGTAAAATTCAATTATAACTCCGTTTAGAGGACTACTGATCCTGAACATTCTGAAAGAAACGCGCATGAGATCGGAAACTGATCGAATCAATTTCTTAATATCACCATAAAGAAATACCGAGCAACAGTTTGTAACATGATTTACCAATAGTTTCTCGTGCATCGGAAGAAGTGCAGTTTTCCCTCAATGGCTGAGTTGCAATAGAAGATCGCAGATGAGTAGATGTTTCAATGGGATTATTAATGCTGTTAGAATGATTATTTGCGATGCATTCCGTTTGGTGGTGTGCATTCTGATCGATGATATTAGATGAAGATGAGGATGTTGATGAGGACATGTCTTCTTGCTGAAATGCACATTTGCAGCGATCCGATCATCTCTATATGGATCCTGATCAGAGCTAACTAACGTTTCCTTTTTCAACGTAAAACCATAACACAAACAAACAAATCGACCTAACGTCCCCAGTTTTCGATGAATCGTAAATGAAAAGTGAACATGCATAAAAAGCATGAAATTTTATTGGGAAGGAAAACCAAGAGACAGCTCTGGAAAGAGAATGATCTACGCAAGAAATGTGAATCAAAAAAAGTAACAACAATCAAAACGAATTAATCAATCGACAGCTGCACGGCTTTGACAAACTGTAGATGTTGTAAGGGTGTAGCATGAGTGTATTTTAACCTTAACGTGAACTTGAATCTGAATACAAACCTAACCTAATCAAACTGATTCTGAGATTGAGTCTAATTGAAACGGAACAGGCTAAATGCACATCCATTTGAGTTCTAGGAGTTGCCCTGGACGGCATTTTCTTGTTAGTTGGAACAAATCTAATCCTCGTCACAAATTCAGTACCAATTTGCCGACCCACAAAAGGATGCTAGTGTTAGTGACCCTTGGCGCCTGTGGTCTTTCAGTTTGGTATTCAGTACCACAACCACTGCTTCATCACAGCTCTGATTTTAATAATAATAAGAAAATACTTTTTTATTCGAATCGGAATGATTCGCAGATGAAGATTGTTGTTGAGGTGTGGTAAGACTGAGAGTATCATTGTAATCACCATTATTACAGATATTTAATTGTTGTTCATCAACTTTCTTGTTCGGTATTGATTCATTTTGTTGATGGTCATCGTGTAGTGGTTGCATTGCTGCACTTGATAGAACATTTTCGATTGTTCCATCGAAACACTTAAACGATTTGATCCAATCAGTTACATAGTGCATGACCACTTATAAAGGTTCAGCATTGATCAACTAAACAAATGGAACACAATTGACTGCTACCTGATTGTGCAAATCTGCAGGGATGGACGATGAAGGAGGAAGCGTTGATGCAGCCGCCATAAGACTCTGAATATATTGTTGCATCATTTCCTGATAGTGAACACTTTGTAAGAAGTAATTCTCGGATGGTAACGGGTTGATACGATATTCAGCAGTCGCTTCGTTATGATCTGTTTGTTGTTGTTGATGTTGATGTGCCACTACCGAAGACGACGGTTGCTGTGGCATGAATGGTGTCATAAATGGGTTGGCAAAAAACGATGGTGCTGCTCCAGCTGCCGTTGGAAGAGTCGAAAATGTTATACCACCTCAAAGTTATATTCAAATTTGAAAATCGATTTTGTTTATTAACATCATCGTTGGTGCATGCATTCAAAAATTGTACGAATCAAGAAACAACACCCCTGAAATATAACCATCTTGAATATAGATGAATTTGTCTAATTCGATCAAGAAATGAGCACAGAAACGCGTACGTCATAAACGTATGACAATTTATCGCACTGTCAAACAATCGATCATTGACGCACAACTATTTGTTTGGGCACATATATATCATTTACCTATTAATACGAAATGAATGTTGTTCTTTAACGTTTTATTTCTTCACCATTACTGTTGTGTTAACTAATTATTTATTCAATCATGCACATTCAAACGCAATAAACATTTTTCCCCAATAATTATAGTGCAGTTATTTGTGGAACATCAGTTTTATTACGGAAACGCACTTCAAAATAATGAGTGAGCTTTTCGTCATTTACGAATGACTGCTCGGCTCTGTTGCAATTTGAGATAATGAAATTCTACGCGTTAATCACTTCTGGTAAAATGACTAATCGGCACTCGAATTCCGTTGAAAAGCAGTGTTATCATAGGGCAGCTTACTGCTTCATTTCTACATCATTTAGACAGACAACTGAATAATAACTCAACCGAGAAAGGTAACATAGAACTGAGCCCCTTGAAATCAAACAAAACAAAATCTAACTTCGAACGTCCGTTGTTGAACCGATATCGTCAGTGGAATGCATTCCTTGCGGAATTGCCGAAGTGGTCGGTGCGGCAAGTGGCGCGGATGCGGAACGGCCGTCTGTATCAGTAGCCATCTGAATGAGAAGTGAACGTGGAATGAATCGCAAATGAAACAATATTACCAGAAGCGAATCGAGTACGTTAAATGGGCATGCATATTCAAACACACATGCATATATACACGAGAAGATGGCTGTAACTGCACATCATACTTATTTAAGTCACTAGCCATATTTATTCGAACGTTCTCTGAATTGTTTGCAGTGAGTAAAGCGTTTCAAAAGTGCTGTTATAAGTAAGATGAAGAAGCATAGAATGATCGTCGTTTTGTGAGTGATGAAAAGCACTGCTTGTCGATTCAACAACATTTTTTAAACGAAAAACGAGCCAACACAACTGCAGGCACATTCCTTCGCTAATAGTAATCTGTATACGATTAATAATGCCACTAGAAGTCATACTGAAATGAATAAGTAGCGATTCTCTCAGCACTACCACTCGGACACTCACTTCCCAGTAATCACGTCAGCAATATCATTATGCGTTTGTCACATTCATGGCTTATATTCGTGCATCTCTTATACGTTCTAGGCTGCATCCTCGGTGCCTCTCTTCAATACAAATCGATATACGTACACCACATATGTGCAGACACAATTTATAGCCTTCTATTCGCTTTTACATATCTATAAGACATAACGCCACATATCCATCTTTTTGGCAAGTTATGCAGCAACAAAATTCGTTCGTAACGTTCATTAACTAGCATTTTAAAACTCAATTTTTGACTTTTGAAGCATACAAAAGCAAACCATAGCCACCCATTACAAGCAACTCAACTCTTTTCTGTATGTTACTGCTTCAATCGCAGTAGTCACGATATAAGCTTATTCAGGCTACATTTATCGCCTATTTCGATTCAGGTATCAAACTAAAATTAGATCTGAATTCCACAAAAAGAATGTCGTCAATAAATATTCTTCAACTTTTTCAACAACGTATAAAATCACTGAGCAATTCTCACTGTCGATTTATTTTAAAGTTCAATATGGTTGAATCAAACCCTTTCAAAACACTAGACAGAACTGAAATCTGCAACGTGAAAATAAAGATCGCAAATTTTGTCGTAAAAACGACCTCTAGAAGTTCCTGCAAATATGAGCCACAATGAGATGAAATACGCAGATGATGCTTTATACGGCTAGTTGTTATAAAATATTATCACAATACAGATAATACAAAAACAGAATGAAATGATGTTAAGACGATAGTAATCACAAATGAATAAAACTTTCATCAATGAAGAAAAAAATTGGAAATGACAACTCAAGTAAATTCAAAAATTGAAAAATGGAACAATAAGAAAGCACATAAACACAACTCCATTGAAAAAAAAGAATGGAAGAACAGAACAATTCAAAAAGAACCTTAAACACTGAAGCAACCGTTGAAAGCTAAAGAGACAACTGAGATCGAAATTGTCAACAAATATGGATGGATTCGAATTGAACAAAAAACGAAAATTATAAAAATGTAAGAAAAATGAACTGAAAATTAACACATCAGTATAACCACCAACAGAACAATGAGACATAAATAAAAATATACACCGTTCAAAACAATAATCCCTAGATCAAAGAGAAAGAGAAGAATATTAATAATAATGAAAACAACAACTTAAAAAACCTTCGGTGTTGCACAGCGTAAAAAAAGTTTTTCATAAAGAGACTATTCCTCGTGAACACAAATAAAAACAAGAATATACCACACAGAATACTGAGTGACAAAATGAATAGGTTATTGTTAACATCGCATAACAATAATAATATCAGCACGATAAGGATGGCAATGAATCGATAAGAGTAAGGATACTAAAATTATTTCATTTATAATATCAAGAATATGATGATAAATATCAAAGAATAGTAATTTTGATTTTTCTTAAAGATAATATGCAGTTGACAACACGTAACGAAACCTTTGCTCAATAAAATAATTATTGGTCACTTATTTAAGAAAAGCATAATTAATAATGAACGGTAAAAGCTGAAACTTCTTAAGTAAACGAGATATGGCAATCGAACTTCAATAAGCAAACGAAGTATTATTAGAACAAATGTTGATATATCAATAAATACGTGAGCAGTTCGATAGTTAAAGTAGTCTGCTAGGGTCATAGAGTTCGAATACAAATTGCAAAGGAACAGTGTTAAACATTGCATAAAACCTGACCAAAATAGGAACCATATCACACCGTTGATGAACAACTGTTTATATCACAAACTTGAACACAAAACGCAGAAATGGGGTGTATGAATTTTGCTAATTAATGGCTATGATAATGATTAATTGTCTTTTTATGAACATGCCATAAATTAACAACAATATAAAGCGTAAAATCACATAGTCATCACACAGTACTCTTCGAAAGAATTGTTGAGAAATATGGAAATGAATAAACAATAATAAATTATTGAAATGATCGTAGCGTTTCACTGTGGAGCTGCATACGGTATTGGAGGTCCTTTCTCATAGAAATAAACTTGTGAAAGAATGAGAACGTCGACTGTTATCTGAAATATTGGACTGAAAGAATTTCTTTAGAATTTCTTACTACTGACTTAAGGGTTTTCTTTGGAACGACGTTTTTTTTCAACATTCAAAAATGAAAGTTCCTCATTCTCAATATCAACGAATTAACAAATAAAGTTGAATTACGATTTAAATACATAAATTCACCTGGAGTATAGCACAGATCCAGAATTGCGCCGGGCTAGAGCGAGTCACAAAATAAACCGTTTTGGCGCAATCACCCAATAACCACATTACTATCATGCGAACACTGCAAAGAATTAGTGAAATTAGTTACGTTTCCAACTAATCAAGCAAGAATAAACTAAATTTAAGTAATGAACCAAACATAAATATCAGAAATGAACGCTAATATGTGACCACCCACATTTCAGAGTACAAACAGAAAATAAAATTGTAAACTGAACCGCAAACATGTACGATATAGTCGAGATGCAACGGATTCCAGCCAAATACTGACTTTAAAAAGTAATACAGTCATTTATTTGCTCATTCATACTCAATCTCATCTTAAATCTCTGTCCCTTTTATTATTCGCATTAACAGCATTCATACATGCAGCGTTCAATGCTGATCATATCTAATCTATGATTTTTATTTCTTGTTATATAATTCCCACAGTGATATTATCCTAGACTGAATTTGTAAGGTAGAAACAAAAGAACAAGAACGATAAAATTCTCACTGAAATTGCCGGATTTTGTGCGAAAATTGCATTGCGAATATTTCTGAAGAAATCATTTCGACTCAACACATCTACACTTATATGCATTATGCACTAGCTATTCTACAATGTGAATGAAGCATTCGTTTTGATAAATCAACATAAAACAATCAGCTACACTTCTCCTTCTTGAAACATCTGTCCGAATTTTTTGAACTTTATGTTTACTTTCATATTTCACTTCTTCATTTACCATACTCATTGTGTTCAAGCATGTTGAACACCTTCTACCGTCATTAGTACCACAATTATTCACACTGTCATAATACCGACTTTTATAAGTATTTGAAGATGTTACGGAGAAATGGAAGAGGTGGGCATGAATCTTTTATACGAATCTTACATATTTATCTGATATCTGTTGTTTGCTTATAAGGAACTGATTCATTGCATATAACAAACTTCTTGATTCTTTATAAAAAATGATGAATTTTTTATAAAAAATTTTTTCGATCAATGTATTTGCTTGATGATTTTAATCTCATCCGTAGTTAATAATATTAGATTGTAGAGAGAAGGATGGGGGACTGCAGTCATGTGAATTGTTTGGGGAGGGGGAGAGGGAAAGGGGGAGGGCGATCAGCTGTATGACTTATGGAGCATAACAGCGTGAGTACCATTGTTATAAATGATTATAGGAATATTATCATTATTAGTATGATTATTATTTTTCTTCCAAATTCATAAATCATTTCTTGCTCGAGCATAATTCGCAAATGAACATTTCGTATACTTTTCTAACTGTTCTTCGAAATTAATGCTATCAGAAAACATACTGATCTAATTTCTAAAATTAGCAACTATTCATTTGCTCGAATAGAATCGCTCATCTTTATGATCGCATTTCATACTCTGCTGAGAGATATTGCTAGTAGGCTCTCTGTGTCTCTCAGTCAATGAAATGATACAAGAGTACACTTCGATGAGAGAGAGAGCCAGGGTGGTAAGGATAAACGGGTGATAGACATACGGCATGATTTAGATGGATGCCTCAATATAAGGATAAAAAAACAACAATAACCTCATTCCAGTGGTAGATTTTCGCTTATGATTCCGAAACAGCTGCGGTATTCCTAAGCTTGCTTCAACCAACAACGAAATCATACCTAACGCTTCAATGTACCATGCCCACTACAAGATAACCATGTTGTTTACCAACAAATTTATGAATAATCAATTCAGAACACACTTCAGATGAGAGTAGAATACTTCTGTGCGTTGTGTTTAAATACCCATTCAGATCAAATCAAACGTTCTAAGTAATGATGCTTCTTGCAATCCACAATACCTCAAAACAACCACTTCAGCCACTCAAACTACTAGTATGTGAAGATGTTCTTCTTATCTCATTTCGTTCTTTTCCTTCTTCAGCACTCACCCACCCTCGTATTCAATTACTTCAACAATCCTCCTTTCGTTTCACTCATTACTCACTAACCTCACTGTCAGCGAGTGAACTGTTGTATGAATAAAACGATAAAATTAAAATGTCCAAAATAAAACGATACTTGTGAAAAAAAGAAGGTGATGAGTGAGCAGAATAACGTGAATACGGCTAATGCGAGAATGTAACTGGATAAGTCGCTCCATGCCCAAAATCGCTCGATTAGATCACCACCTGAATGAAGGTTTAGTAAGTGGATGGATGCTTCTCGAATGAATTGCATCAGAATTTGACAACGACTTTACGTATCTGGGTTAATTTTATTCGGGTAATAAAAGAATGGAACAAACTAGAAAATTGATTGGTGTGATAACTGCCTTTTATTGGTTAAGATAAAATACTTAAGAGCATAAAGAGTTAAAAGATGAGGCGGTGGTGCTGGACTGAACAATATTTTTAGAAAGGGTAAAAGCTTGAATGAAAATAAGACGTAACATTTTGATAAAGAAGAAGAACTGTGTTCGTGAGGAGCGGATAAATTGAAGAGAAGAAGAAATAGCAACGATGAAGTGAACAAAATCAAATCGAAAAGGTATAGTTAGAAGAGGAAGTTGAAATTGCGCAATGTAAATAGATTTATATATTTGTCTGAATTGAAGTAAGCACGAAGCAGACAACAAATTTGGTTATATTTAAAAACATTCATGATTGATTTACTGAACGATGATAACCGCACATGGTAAGCAGACGGCTATTGTATGATCATGTGTTGATAAATTGAAAGTTGTGTAAAAATGACTTTCAGTAAACGTCAAATAGTTGAAGTGAACCAGAAAAACGCACAGTTTTATTCACCCACACCTACACATGCTTTTGAATCGTGCATGACGATGAATATGAATGAAATGCATGTATATTATTTGTGAAATGTTTATTCGTCAATAAGAACGAACCAAATGAAGTGTCCTGAGAGTTTCTTAATCTCTTCTCTTCAATTACGTCTAAAAGCAATAAACAAGCAAACTTCCTAAACATCTCATCAAATTACTACTTTTAAAATTAAATGACGCAAAAACAAAAAGTATGCATAAAAATGGATGAAAGTTATGACATCAATGAGACTACTCATATAATAAGACTTAAACGATCGACCAAGAATCTATCGAACAAATGACCAACGAAAGTGCATAGTGGACGGTGACGTATTGTGGAACGAAGCAGCAGAAGCATTAAATTAGTTAGTGCATTATAAGTTCATGCAAACAGTACTGTTATGTGTTTCATTAATTTGATGGTTTTGCATTAGTTGATTAGTCACTTATTTGATTTGATAAACAGCAATTCGAATGAGCTTTGAGTTGATAATTAGATCGCTTTTAGTGTTGCTTGGTTCGTTTGAACCGTCAAATTGCATTACGCGAAAGTAATTATTCGTGTGATGAAGCAAGCGAACGAGTGAGTGAGTGACTAATCGAAAATCAAATGCGATAAGCAAAGAACTGCTTCTTTTTCTGATCAAAACTCAATTATCGCTTATTAAATCTGTGGAATCACCCTTGAAAATATACATGAAAATACTCATAGCAATCCATACATGCAGACAAAATATGATCAAGCGCATTCTATCATCATCATCATCATCATCATCATCATCTTGTTTAAGTAATCACGACTGCAAAGGCAGCATTCGTTGCCCTAAACAATCTGCTGCTCCTGCTGTCATCAACTCAGCCCCTCCATCCGTTCGTCGCAATTCGTCTCGATGAATCGAGCATCTCTAAAACTGTTCTTGCAGCCACTCCTATCCCATCCCATCCTCCTTTAATTTTTGTTTATTCATTCACTAATTCAACTTCATTTTCATCCTTAAATTTACTTCTTCCTCTTCCTCATGTTCATTTCGCCTCTTTCTTCTTCATCCAACAATTCATCATCATTACTTCCCAAATATTTACCAATTATAACTACTCAATTGATCGAGCAACTTTACTATTCCGTCCCTCTCTTGTAGTATCCCAACCGATCCTCTACTACAATCCCCAACAACTCCTTAACAACAACAACCATATAATGACTAATGTCCACAAATGATCCCCATCAATACACGTTCTTAATGTTTCATGGCCCCTAAACTCTCTCTTGATAAAAATAAAGCCAATCAAGCAACACCAATCACGTACCCATCTCAAAATAACCCAAGCTCAAATGAAGTTAAATCAGTTTCATTTCAGCTCATTTAAATTATTCTTTTCTCCCATTCCTAGCAGTTATGGTCCAATAAACTAATTAAACGACTACTCATCAGTTATATCCATTCCTTATCTTTTCAGATTATTCTCACGCGATATTTCCATACACAAAATAATATCAAATCCCTTCCAGTTGTACAATAATTCACCCATTTGATCACTTATTCCATTTATTATCGACACTGTTGTTGCTACTCTTCATTCATATGCGAAAACGATTAATTTTCAAATCGAATCATCAAGGTTGGAAAATGAACTTCAACAATTGTCAGCTACAGGTTGTTTCAAAAATCTTTTCTTTCTTTCTTTGCTCCTCAAATGAATGTAATATAGATATGTGTTAAGTACCAAACTGTAGTGATGGCATCCGATCGCCGTTAGGTTGAAATTCCCAACGTCAGAACGCTGAAAGTGGAGTCGAACCGAACTGAAATTTCATTCCACTGCCATCACTGCTATGCTGTCATTGGCATTTGATCATAATTATTGAACAGAATATGTGAATGTGTACTCAGTTAAGCACGTGAACGAATGCTCGAGGCTATATGAAAGACAAATCTTATTTTGCATAAGAACATGAAGTTATTCGTTCATATAAAAATGCATATCAAATAAACCAGGACAACTTTATAAAAAAAGCGCATTTCAGTACGATGACTTAATCGCTTCTTCATACAATTCACAATCGATGCCTCTACCACTGTTGATACTGTTCACAATATTAGCAGCAATCATAATTCTACTAACGATATTCGGGAATTTATTAGTGCTCTTCTTTAAAGCACGTGTTGGACGTACAAATACAACATTACTGGTGTGGAATTTAGGCTTAACTGACTTTTTAGTTGGTATTTTTGTATTGCCATTAGGTGCGTTTCATATTATTGCAAAACAGTGGAGATTTGGACGTTTTTTGTGTCGATTATGGGTTGCTGCTGATGTCACCTTTTGTACGTGTTCTGTGGTTGGTCATATTATTATCCTTATCAATCTGTTTCTACAAATTCCTAACAAATCGGATGAATCTTTTTCAATCAAATAATTCTTCATGAAATTCAAATCAAGTTTATATATCCCATCTTGTTCAGCTGTTCTACAGATATGACTAAATTTGATTCACACAGTAAATTAGCAGCGAACTGATATCATAAGTACTTGTTGGTAACAAAGACATGACAATGAAATCAAACAATATTAAATTCGTTTTCATTTATTTCTTATTGTCTTGCGTGCTAACTACCTAAACGATTTAATGAATGAATTCTGAAAGAGAACGTATCTGTGTGAAATACCTCCTTCCGAGCACAACCACTCTTCATTTTATGTTAAGTTCTCTTCAAATACACCAAATGGTTACATAATTTATATGCAAAAACAAACTACACTTCAGCTACACACCGACCAAACGAATTCATCCAAATAAATATTCATCAATATTGATTTTACCATTCGTCCCCACTATGCATCATCTGATTGGGAATTTTCAAATCATCAGCAGATATCCTCCGTTCACTGCTCACCATAGACAATATCTCAGTAAAACGCAACATTTCAGTCATTACCAATAAAATTCCAAAAATTATTTCATTTCTATTTTACTGCGAACTAAACCTATTCTTTCAAAAACAAATAAGTGTTTCTCTTTTCTGTGCCTAACATGAATGTACCTATGACTTCATCGTATATTTATGAGTAACATTGATGCAAGTATCAAAGCTGACCACTCTCTGTTAACAGCAACAAAAAAGAGCAAAATGAGTGGAATGTGTGACTGATCAGTATTGCTCACTCTTGCAAACGAATACTGCAAACATTAAAGTGTATCTGTCGTTCTAGGTGACAATCTGTGTGATATCTGTTGATCGATACTTAGCCGTTACACGTCCATTACGTTACAAATCAGTTGTCACCAAAAGTAAAGTTATTATCGCCATGATTATAATATGGACATTTTCAACGTCTATTCTGTTAACGACTGTACGCTGGGATCAACCGAACTGCATCGATATGGTTCGTCTATTTTTCAAACGTGTTGAAATTTATTACCTACATCTGTCAGTTGAAGACTGTGCAACTTATCAGATGAATTGTACGTTAATAATAACGCTAGTGGTAATGCTTTGCAGACTGTTTGTTTTGTTGGACACGAAATTCGGTATTTAGCACATAGCGTTGTATTTGCGTTCTTTTTACCCGCATCAGTAACACTGACGCTTTATTGGAGGATCTATAGACTGGCACGAAATCGACAACGTGCACTAGACCGTGGCTTCTTAATGATTCTTGGGCACAATATGAACTTTCTTACCAATACAATTAGTCAACAAGTATGTCAACCATACATAAATTTCTTTCTGATACGTTTGTATAAAAGGTAGTTAATGAATGTAAGGCATGCGTTTCCTTTTTCAACCCTAAATCGCTATACAATAATACAGTGGCTGGCATTCAAAAAAAAAAACCACCAAAATGAATAGTTAGTATTGAAATATGATTCCAACAAACAAAACTGAATAAATGTTAAAAAAACGATTGTTTCAAAAGTACTGAAAGCGACTGCACCGATTGTGAATGTGATGATTGACAATGAGTGTAGAAAAAACGAATTAATTTTGAAGACAGCCCTACGCGTACATTTCGGTAAAAAGAATGGTATGGTTGAACATCAACGTCGTGTTTTACGAACACACGAACGTATCGCTAAAACACTTGGTGTTGTTTCATGCTCTTTCCTATTCTGCTGGTTGCCATTCTTTGCTTTATATCTGACAAGTTTGTTTTTTTTTTCATTCCATTTTTTTCACAATTATCAAATTATGTTTACTATTCGTCAATAAAGAATAACAATAATGGTCGTTCAATATGTTCAGAAATGACATTCATTATGAATAGAATGTATTATGCACAAAAATATCTTTGCTACTCCATTTAATGACGAGACATAGTTTCTAACAACAATGGAATCTTCAAACACCAATGAAATGAACTGATTTTAGATTATCAATGTAAATGTATTCCAACAGTGGTTATTGATATCGCATCGTGGTTAGGTGAATCAATTGAAATATCTTATTTTTGCCACATTGCTTACGAAATACTCGATGAAAACATTCACAATTATTCTATTAAAAAGAAACAACAATTAAATAGAATCAATTGAATTTTTGTTGCATAACTTTAAAAAATGACAACTTGCTCTTGGTGAATGTAGAATGAAATTTCAGGCTACTGCAATTCCATGTTAAATCCAATCATTTATTCGTTCACAGTAAAGGAGTTCAAGCGTTCAACAATTCAACTCATATTACCGCTATGGAGACTATTGAATCGCCTAATACCTAACTGTATAGCAGCACCACCCGAGCACATTGCATCACGTGTATCTCGTACACGCGGTACACGTGCCAAACCGAAACGACGTTGCTCACTGAAATTCATCTCGAACAGATCCGGCTTTATCATACCAAATTCGAAACAACTTATCAATTCGTCGACGACTAAACGTCGACAAACGATACCAACCGGTATGAGCATTAATACGGATACTGATGCTGCTATTATCAACAACAACATGACTCAACGACGAGTAGTTACGATTAAAGAAGGGCGGCGCGAAGTTTTAAAAGGACTGATGAAGAGAAGTTTAGACGATGTTGTCCATGATAATGAGTCAATGATGGACACTTTTGTTGAGGATGATAGTAACCGATGGAATGTTAATGATCATGAAGATAATCTGAAGATATGCAGTGGTCTAGTGAGCAATGATAAAGAGACAAAGAAACATTGCTCAATGCGCGAAACTATTCCAACGAGCCCTAGTCGAGACGAACAATCTGGTTCTCAACAGTCAGCAAATAACATGAACAATAACAACACTGCGAATAGCTGTGCTAATGAAGACTGCTGCTTCGAAGCTAAATCACCTCATGTGAATGATGCAATGCCTCGACCATCATCACCAACTCATTTCAAACTTAATTCGATCATCAATAATTATCAATCAACAGCCACAACAATACGTGTTTACTGCCTCACTAACGAGGCTTCTCTTTAATTCTGTAATTGTTAACATAATAATGATAACAATCCAACAAACTTATTATCATTATTCTTATCAGCAATCTTTGATCTCTACAAATACATTGCTATATCTTCATTGTGGTACACATATTTCAAGAATTACTCCTGTACTAAAAGCTATCACTATTGTAAAGACATTGAAACTATCTATATATTATAATAGTATATTCTTTTTGTTGCTGTTTTGAAATATTATATGAATACGGGCAAGAATTCAGTATTTGTTTAGTTCGCACAAGTGAACTGTTCCGCCAGAAAATAAAGTTTGCACACTGAAACAATGAAGCATCATTACAAGTAAAAGAGCATAGTAAATAAACAATTGGAGATATGCTTCATGTAATAACAATAGATTAATAGCACTTCTAATGCAACAAGGACAAAAAGAAGATAGTAGATTAGAACTGAAATGAATCATTCAAAAAAACGAAACTAACGCCATAATGAAGAACGTTGTGGTTTACTGATGATCCTTCGATTCATCCGAACCGAAACTTCCAGCATAAGCACCATGCAGATGAGCATCACCACACTTTGGAACAACAATGCCAAGTCGAAACGTTTACCGAACCTTTTCAAATTATTTTCTGATAGCGGTGAGCAGTGTTCAAGTGAGAAATTAAGTGTAATAATATCAAAAGTAAATGCAACAAACTAACCAAAAAAGTATTCGAAGAATGTTGGCAATACATAACGAAAGGCAAACCAGCAGCGAGAATCCTTGCGCATTTTTACGTTCCAATATTTCGATATATTGAAAAACATATGGAATTGCGCCACCAAATATGATGAAAATTTGTGCGAGTATTAAAATAAGCATTCCGATGGACTCTTGTAGAGGAATTAAATCAATACCAATGCGGTCAATTACCATCATATCTTTCGAAGAAAAAGACCCGTAAAACAACAGTCAATCAATAAGTTGATCAGTAGAGTGAGAAGTGTTCTTGAAAACGTATTGGTAATAGATGATATTGTTTATCGCGTTGTAAAAGCGCAGCAACGACTGATCTTGAATAGAGGAAAGTTTAATGGATGCTTGTTGATACAGACGCACAAACATCAACTAGCTATTCAGGAGGTAACGATGGATCGAACAGCTGAGTGACGATCAATTTAATGTAGCACCCACAATCGATCAATCTGCTGATGAGCACAATAAAGCATTTATGGATATGACCTAAACCATAACTACTCATAATAACTTAACATTGCTTGCAATCCTATACTGCGAACTTGTTTTACATGAAATGATAATAATTAAAGAAGTAACTGTTTCACGAATCACGAATTGTTTCACGAATAGCAATTGCAACCCTACAAGAATATTCCCGATTGTTTCATTCAACACGATAAGGCGACACACAAATTGAAGCACAGCAAACCTGAAAATGAATAGTGAAAGTAACTGAAAAATATTCAAAACGTATGTGAGAGTATATTTCATTGATTATAACATAGGTAAACATCAATGTGATGTTAGAATGCTTCATTAGAGAAGCAATTGAACTCTTCATCGAACAACTCTTATTTGATAGCTGAACGGCTCCTGAATGAACCATTTATGATAAGTTCCACAGCCCTTCTGAATACAATACCCATCACAATAAAAATCAGTTGATAAGAGACACGTAAATATTCAACGATATCATCGAAAAAGTATTAAAATGTGAACGGATCGCTGCTTGTATGAACTTTCATAAAGTAAGCATATAAAGGCAACACAACATATACAAATAACAGTTTTATGGATACACAAATGAACAACTGAAAGTGAGATTACAACGAAATTATTCAAGAAATTTGGAGGTAATCAAAAAGATGCACACAAACATGTATGCAATGTAAACCAACCAAAGATAACAATTATTACCTATTCAACAAACTATTGATGTAAAGCATGCATATAAAGGTTGCCTTCATAAGCATACTGTACACTTCCAAATAGCTAAAAACGAAACGTACATAATCACGATACTTAATAAAGTTCGATGCAAACTGTTAAAATTATGAAACAACTAACAACCATTACGTAAAACTAAATTTTCAAACTGCAAATATGCTAACAGTAACAATGATTTTATGATAATACTAACAGTGAGTGGTGATACAGCATGATGGTTCACTCAACTGCAGTATTTTAACGATGGACTGTTGAAGATAGTTGAAACTGTTTCAAAAATTAAAAACTTCATAATCGTCTTATACACCGGAACGTCAATGTGCAATAGTACAATATACAATTTTCCTCATTGCCTTCATCGCAAGCAGAGAAATGATTTCAACTACTTCAACATGGCCCAACAATAAATAATAATACGATATCATAGAATGATTTAAATACATCACTTCCGCCCAGCATGAGGATAATTCTCAAAACGACAACAAAATTGAACTTGAATCATGAAGTAACAGTCATCAAACCCGAATTGCATGAGTAGTCAGTAATAACAACAATAAATTCTCATTAATCATTGCTACATCCATTTGCCACATTGATCCAACACTTTTATTGCCACATCATATATTTATGTTTTTACCAAACGTTACAATAATTCATTTATTTACGGTGATAAATGTGGTCGATGCGCCGGCCTTACTATCAGTTTACCACTCTGCAATTCATTCACCAGTACTGAATTTCAGTGTGCTGCAGAGATGGAAAAAATCAAGGACAGGCAAAATCGGGGATGAAATTTTGCAGTTGGAGACCCGAAAATGCGGTTCGCCCAAAAATTGTCGAGGACGGGGTCCCCGAAATTCTCCGATCCCCACATCACATTACTGAATTCACACTCTATATAGATTTGCATAAGTACAATAAAAACTGTGACAAAGTATTATAAAAGAAGTGAAAAAAAGCTGATGAAAAAGTTATGGAAACAAACTCACGTCGTCACAACTGAGACTAAAATCAGCCAAAACCGTTCGACATCTTGAAGCAATTCTGAAACTCATGTATTTTCATGAACACTTACTGAGAAAATAAGTGCGAGATCGATATATACGTGTAGATGAATGTATTAACCGCTGGATTTGAGATTCAAAAAAACAATACCCACATGCTCGGTGCAACGACACGATTATGTATACCAACATAAACGAATAAAATCAGTAATGATGGAACTGATGCTGAGAACATGATGTGCTTTTGTAGTGATTCCAATAATGTCACCTGTGAAAATACATGAAGTTTCATCAAGAGCTGCATTTTTAACGTATGAGTTAAACAGCAAAAGATGAACGAATAGAGTCAATCAAAAATGACTGAAGAAAAGAATCAATGATGAGAACGACGAATAAGAATAGAATTAGTGTTAAAATGACAAACATAAACAAATATTTACATAGTTAGTAGTGGTTATTCAGAGGTTAACCAAAGATGACTCTCTCGCTACTGTTGAACGAATCTTTCAGTGAATGCATCAATCAAAACTGATGATTGACTGCATCAATGTTTTCTTTCACTTTGAGACTTGCTTAGAAGATAAAGAATAAAAAACTTACAGATCTTATCGTAGGATCCATCAACCAAAAGTATGCACTCCATAATGTACAACCAAACGCAATTAATAACACCACTATAATTGAAGTTGCTTAAATGAAATAATGTCTATCAGTCAAAATTCAAAAATACAGCAATTTTCTCACACTATGCTCGTAGTTATATCATCTCGACTTCTAAGCTTTATTCCAGACAGATGATATGACAGCAGGGAGGGAGAGTTGTGATTAAATGAGAATTCAAACGGAAAATGGATGCAGTACAGCACCCAAAATAAGCCAACGTACATCGCCATCTTGCTGCCGACGGATGCATACTCTGGATGACCTCGGTGAGACGTCCTTCGAAATATCGTAGGTCTGAACAGTCATATTAAAAAATCCGCTGTTTCGAACTGAATTTGGAATGAAGCAGCGTAATGATTCTATCAGTCAAAACTGACAGCGTTTCCCAAACAGAGTTATAAAAAATTATGTGAACAAGCATAAAGAAATGGCAAATTACTCACTCACCTTCATATGCTGATGATGTTTCATCCATTTCAATAGTACGCACATACAATTAACCGCTACAAAATGAAAACTCTCCAATATCCTCGGATACAATTTCGAATAAGTCTACGTGTATGCGGATGATTATTATAAGCGAATTAAACGACTGTTAAACTTTCTTACGGACGAGACGCAACGCAAATGATGTAGTTTAGCCGGTCATCTGAGGACGGCTCTACGACAATTCGCTCCACGACAAGTCCCACCCCGACAATTAGCACCTCACAAGTCTATGATACCGCGTAAACCTTAACACTAAATGGTTGGGTGCTATTTGTCGGGGTGAGACTTGTCGCGTGTTGGTCACCGACCAGCACACCTGATTCGCTCCTTTAGAAAAGATCGTTCGTTCATGGTGCGCCATGCAGTGGATGTGATGCTGGTGCATACCATAGCATCACGTTACTATAACAGATTAAGAGAAATATTTACAGGAAATTTGTTAGATAGGATTTGGAGGGTCTACGGATGACCGAGAAATAGGTCGGCGACAAGTCTAAACTCCAACAAAAATGATAAGGCATGCGCATGTTACTCAATGATGCAAATTGTCGGAGTTGCACCTTGTCGCGGACGAAATTGTCATTGACCCGGATAATGAGTTTTCGGTCCTTGCCGGTGGAAGTAGGGTTGTGGTGATTTTTGCCGTCATTTCTTCTTCCATTTCTTATCCGACTTCTTTTACGATAACTGTGGAGGTGGCTTCACTGAGAAAATATTTTTCGCGGTAGATCAGGAATTAGAACTCAAAATCTGTGGTATGGGTAAATTTGAGCGAGAGCACAACTCCGATCTTGAGAATAAGTAGAAAGCATACTTACCATGTTTATTAATGGTTGTAGCAGGTGAAAGCTGCTAAGAAATTTCAACGCAATTAGAAGAGTAATTTTTTCAGTTTTGAACGACGACGACGAAATGCAGTGTGATGTGCGTTGGCTAAAGGATTATCCGAATCGTTTCATATACCTTACGCCAGATTGTTTTAATTTATGTCAAGTGGATGATGATTTCAAAACGAAAGTTCTGGCTGATTTTCCAGTTTGTGTCAATCAACGCATGGAACAGGTTCTTACACTTTGTTTTGCATGTATTCTTTTACACCATTTATGAGGCGTTTACGTTTATTAGTATTATTTATGAAACTTGTAGGATCGATTACGTTGCTTCAGTCTAAGTCCAGTATCGGATGGTTTATTAGCGTTGGGTTATGCGTATGGTCGAGTGCTTGTTACTGAAGTGGCGATTGATCCAGATATAAGGTTTCGCTTACGATAATAACAATAATGATATTCGTGTCATTAGCAGTATCATTATTCTTATTACCTTTATTATCAGGTGATGTTCTCGGTTGAAAGCAATACACCTGACTGATTCTATTTCAGAACCCTGAAGAATGCATCCGAATTAACAAGTGAAGTAACGAAGCCAGTAATATTTCTTGATTTCAATCCGGTTTCTCAATTTCATCTAGCTGCATGCTTCGAAGCGTAATCGTTAATGTTATTGTTATCGTTCCCTCATAACTTAGACTGCTCTAACTTATCATTTCTTGTTTCAGTGCTCGTGCTGCAGATTTTACCGTTTGTGTGTTCGACGTGAAGCGACCGACACTGAATATGTTTCATCTGAATAGTCCTGAACGTGTTAAATCAACAACGTGGTTTGCGTAAGTTGTTTTCATATCTTGTGCTAATGCAGTGATGTTAATGATGGTAACAGTAGTATTGATAATTATGAAAAGAGCAGTGGTATTACTACTACACACAATAATGGTAATAGTAGTGGTGATAATAAGTGATGACAAGCGAACTAAATTTCAGTTTAGTCGGTATCTGAATCGACTTTTCAAAATTCAGAAATTCGGTATTCCTACTGACTTCCAAAATTTTCGGTTGGAATCCGATCGAATCCATTTTTTGAGATTCTAGAATTTGGTTTGAGATCTGAATTCTTTGATCGGATTTGGAATTGCCTTGTTCGGAATGTGACATTATTTCGTCGAACCGAACTTCGATCGGCTCCCATCCCTAGTAATGACACTGTTGGTAGTGGTATTGACTGTTGACAAATATGACCAAAGCGTCATCACTGAAAGATAAATTTTCAAGTTGAACTGAAAGGACGATGCAGTAATTTATGCTGAAAAGTTTTTATGATTATGTAACAGTTTATTGGCTGTTTTGTAATCTAATGAAATTTGTAACTGTTTGCAGTGATGACCCAAGTTTGATAGGAATCGGTGGACGTCGCACTCTGAAATTGTACGATATTCGTGAGGGCACTCGTCCACTATTCAATACGTCAATAGCGAGTCAAATTCGAGCAATCAAGTCCGATAATATAAGACATCAACGATTCGCGTGTTTATTTGATGACTACGTCAATGTGTATGACCGAAGAAATTTGTCATCGGTTCTCTATAAAATAACACTATCGAAATTTGTTAGTGTTTCGTGTAGCTTTCGTCAACTTTTGTTTTGGTTCGGTTCGATTCTTTCAAGCACTGTTTCACTATGTTGTTGTTCTCTTTTTTTGTTCCTTTGTGTTGTTCCTCAGAAAATTTCATTTTTTTAATTTTTTATTTGAATTGTTACAGCCGAAAGGCGATACAACAGAGGCGAAATTATGCTGGAATCCACATCATCCGTTTTCGTTGACTGTGCTGGATCGTGGTTCGCGAACAATCACGGAATTATTGGTCTCTTCTTGTGAGGTGGATTCTGACTCACAAGCACATCAACCATCCGACTGTGATTCTGTTAGTTATCACTTCTTTTTTTTGCAAAATTTTTGTTTTGTACTTTTGATCTACTATTGCCATTATGTTAATATCAATAATAAGAATAAGAATAATATAATGATGCACAACAACAAATCATAGTGTTTATAAGCAGGATGATAATGCTTAAAGGGTGAAATCCGACGACTTCGTGGTTCAATGGCAAAATTTGAATTAAATGATGAGACTGCTTATGAATTACCACTATCTGATCACGACGATGTATTAGAAATAGATGATGCGTTGAGTGTTAAGGATGAAGAGCAAAGTATCGCGAAGCATCCTTATTTCGAAGTGAAGCACAATGTTGGTTTTATCGATTCATTTATCATTGTTTTTGTTTGTACTCTTACTATAGTGGGAAAGATTTCAGTGTAATCGAGTGCCGTCAATATATGGTTTTGATTGGCATCGAACAATTCGTAATCGACTTTTATTAGGTGGTATGAATACTAGAAGTGGAACATATGCTGTTGCAGTAGTGCAGGTATGTTGTGATATTTGCTATTGGGCATGTACCATATGTGTAATGCTAAGCCATTGTTTATTTGAATTGTTCAGGTGAATAATTTTGTGACATGCGATATGTCACCAGAAGCACAAATTGTGCGATCGAATGAGATGAATTTTTACGTGCATGAATTATCATCGGTACCGTGCAATGGTAATAAAGAGCCAGATTTGTCGACTATAATGCGACTTCGGGCTGTTCGGAACTATGGTACACCTGGTACAACTGCTCTTGATGGTTCGTTCCTTTCATTATGATTATCAACAGCATTCAGCTTCCGTTTCTATCTCTTCGTCTGTTCTATCGTTCATGTTTTGAAGCATATATTCGATCGTGTAAAGATATAATTGAAAGTTGTCCATATGCGAACGCAGATTTGAAATGGGTTTGGAAATGGCTATGGCAAATGATATATATTACCGATTGGAGACCAGAAGTTTATGGTACCTGGTTGGTTATTTCTTTATTTGTTTTTTTAAATATTGACGAGAATAACATTAATGCATTATGCATATCATGGCTTATAATGATAGACTTGTAATAACAGTAATAATAATAGCACATTGAAATTCTAGGTTCCCTGGTGTCCTACAGGTGATGGAACATAGTTTAGCGGGACCAAAAAAGGGTGGTTCAACAACTGAACGGATCATTGTAACGGATCCTTTGCTTGGACGAATTAGGGTAAACTTAGTATTTGTTCAGTGATTGATTTATTTATGCGCTTATTGATCATTGAATTTATCATTTATTTCGTATTTGAAATGTTCATTGTTTTATTGATGATTATGGTGGTGCTAAATGAAAACTTTGAGTTAAGGTTTATAAAGGTAAAGAGAGAGATCGAGTATTGCGTTTATGTGGCTGGCCGCCATTCGATGACATTGCTCGATTGGATGTTTTTATCGATGAGAATGCTCTCGAAAGGTGGTCTGAAGTGTTTCCGTTTTTTTTTTTGTTTTGAACGGATCGGTTTATATTGATCATCGTTTCGCATTGTGTTACGTTTATTTTACAAGTGCATTTAGAGACGGTAAAGAGGGTGGTAATAACGGTAATATTACAGTGTGCATATTTGTGATGTGATAAAATTTTAGACCAACGCAAAGTCGTGCAGTAGCGGCTGCTGTCTTCACAGGTCATACGGGTAGAATGAAAAAGGTAAATGAGAACTATTTTAATAGGTGGATTTTATGTGTAAGTACAAATTATTGTTATTATTCACGTTTTTGCTAGTGAATAGTTGTTATTTTCAGATTTTATCGGAAATGGTCGGAGCAGCGAAATTGTCAAACGAGAAGTCACGAGATGAAATCGAAAAGTTTTATGAAGCAGTTATACATTACAAAGGCGTTTCTGAACAGTGGTAGGGATAAGATGTTCATATTGAGAGTTGGAGTGGTTCTCTCTTTTGTATAGCATTGTTTGAAAATTTGTTTGTTCTTTCAGGAAACCAATATCGGAAAAATTGAAAAAAGTAGTCAAAGATCCATACTTTACAATGATACTCGCATTTTTAAACGGTCGTTGTGAAAATTACACGGAGCAACATCAGATTCTCCGGCTTGAGGTGGCTCAACTTTTTCCGCACATTCATCTTCATTATTGTAAATATTATTTATTATTATTAGTTATTTTTATTAAACGTTTCAGCGAGTACCACTAGAAGATCGTATCGCGTTTGCAGCCATTCACTTCAATGATCAGTGGTTTATGAATTCAATAAAGAAACTGTTCTACGATACGACCCTACGTAAACGTTTACCAGGTTTATTCATCGCGGGTTTAAGTCAAGATTCTGAAACTCATCGTCTATTAAACGAGTTAGATTTTTCAGTTTTCATTATTCATGTTATTGTTTGTCGTCTTTTCGTATGTTCTTTTATTAAATCTATGAACTTGTTCCATATTCTTATCGTTATGATAAGTTTAGATACGTTGATGATACGGGTGACGTACAAACGGCAACACTTTTATTAATAACCGGACATTGTTTTGCACCATTCGTTCAGAGAGCAGTCAGCGTTCCACTGGATGAATCTCAACAAGCAACGCATGAAGATTCTGAAATATTCTCAGCATCTGAAGATGTGGACAGTGATGAATTTATGAATCGGTTCGTCTTTATTTTATACAGAGTTCATAGAGGTTCAGGTAGATTCGAAGTGGATATTTCGAAGGGTTCACGTTTGAAGTTTTATTTCAAAGTTTGCGTTTTGGAAGCGTGTATAATTCAGTTGCAGTTGTTTAAGTCATTAAAGTGTGATAAATTCATCTCTTTGTTTGTATTGTTGTTGTGATTGTATCGTATTTTCAGTAGGAAATATGTGATGCAAAGCTATTGTTATGTGCAAGATTATTTGGAAATGTTGAACAGATGGGCATTATGGACGCAACGTGCCCGTTTGGATTGTTTATTGCAGTGGCGTAAAATTTATGAATATATTGGTGGTGGAAATAGTGGTTGTTATGTAAATAGTACAGCGATGATGGCAACGGGTGCGGCAACGAGTTCTGCAGCCACGACAAGTCATTCGATTCAGAACAGCGCTATGGTTGGTGGAGCAGATTCTGAATTGCATGAAGCACCTGAAGTGAATGGATGGCCATCGATGGAAGCGTCTGAATTGGAGATTGCCATTGGAAAGACGAATCAGGACAGAGCTGAGGTAGGTGTTGTTTATGTGTTCGTTGGTGGTTTTGTATGATAATTTTCGTACTATTGAATTGTAATAACGATTTATAATAGGCCGAAGTGTGTTGTCAGTTTTGTGCGTATCCTGTAACATTGGAAAAACCTGAGTTGGCCATACCAATTTCATCGACTTTATCGGTACCTTCAAATCGAGTTACATCCTCAACATCGTGAGTTTATTGTTTACTGATAGTGAGCTCATTGTTTCAATATTCTGATGGTGTTGTTTGTGTAGGTGTTCTCTGCCGACGACGAAGTCGTCGAAATCGGTGAATACCGCCGTGTTGTTGAGTGCCCGAGATGTGGCCTGTCAACAGTGCTATAAGCCATTACCGAAATGTGTTTTGTGCCGACGACATATGGGTACGTTAACGCCATCTGAATGTCCAGCACTTGGTTCGCTCTCATCTTGGTTTACATGGTGTCAGGTATCATTTCGTTTGTGATACGATGTTTTGTCGCATAATGACAGAAATTTATAAGTAAATAAAGCTTTCTTGGTCATAATAATGCGCAAGAAATAAAGTGGTAAAGTATTATTTGCGTTATTGTCAAACACGTATAGGCTTGTGAAGACATCGGATGCATTAATTCTGTTGTATGTTGAAGAACACATTCGATGTGACCAATAATTTTTACAGAAGGAACAAGAAATGTATATAAGAAGAATGTATAGAGCAGATTATTGGTCAATTTGTGCATATTACTTACTATTATTGTTTAGCAATGCAGACATGGCGGTCATATGGCTCATCTTTGGCACTGGTTCGCGAAACATGACGAATGTGCGGCGAGTGGATGTCTTTGTAAATGTAAATTGGCTGATTTGAATATGTTCAACTGTAAATCTGCATATAACAGTAATGCAGTTGTTGTATCGTGTACGTGTTCGGATGGAATTTGATGTTATGCACTCTTCTTGTTTGACTTTATCATCAGCTTTGGCTTTGTCAAGAGACGATTCGGGTAGATAGCATCGTTATCGTCATAATCATTATCAGGTGATGATGCAGAAATTGGCGAAAATTTATGCAGTCTCATTATTTAATATTGCTGTTGCTGTCATTCGTTTCGATTGTGCTTTCATCAATACAAATCGCTTTCTTTGCATCAAAGGCTGGTGCTTTGTTGGTTTGTTGCATATGTACAGATGATTGTTGTTGTTGTTGCTATCTCTTATTTTATCGCTGATTGATCTAAATGAATTTGAATGATATTGTTAATAATCGGAAGTTTTTCGTTTATTCATAAGAAGACTGCAACCTGAACTAAGAACTGTCATTTTATAAATGTGGAGTTGAATTAAACAAACTTAAGTTGGGATCAGATCAATTGCTTAGGGTGAACTCATGCTTGTTTCTGTTGTAATCGTCGTTAATCCACTATGTTAGATAATAGATCTCTCCGCTTGTGGTTTTTTTCAGCTTATGCGCGTATATTGTTGAATTAATTTTATTTCCTGTCATATGGCTGATTTCATCTCATCTACAGTTGAGAGAAGAAAATTGCAACGATTTTGATAAATAAACGAGAGGAAATATTATCACTTTTGCGATTATCTTTATAATATATAAAGATAATGTTGTATAGCATGTAATTTTATTGTGAATGGACATTGTGATTATAAATGATCGTTGTATTGCTCAATTCAAACCGTTTTATTTGACACATAAAAACAAACCCATCTCTTCACTATCGAAATGCTCAGCAAATCTATTATGAATATTGTTATTGTTGTTATCATTATCATTATCCTTGTTATTGATTCCTACCATCTCTTGTTGTAAGTATTGATCTTCGAATTTCTGTGCGTTCTAATATCTTCGCAAATAAAATTCAATTCAGTACTACTTTTTCCTCCTAACGGAACTCAATTTGTTCTCAAACTCAGTTCAAGAGTCGTCTTGAATACCTATCTTCTCACCATTATTATCTATCGATAATTTCATACGTACCAGTAGTAGTAGTTATTCACATTTGTTTATTTTATGTTTGACTAGCTGCTAGTTAATATTTAAGTTGAGTTTATGTGTATGTGGGTCTAGTTCAGCTCTGTGAAACTTTTAGATTTGATTCGTTTTCAGCGTTCACTTCGTTCGCTGATATGCAGTTTGTGTTATTTGTTTAGGGCAAACTAAACATTAATAATAATAATAACATTGCTATATCCATTTCTAAGCAAATTTTTACTCAGCATCAGAGGAAATTTCATGTGAAAGCGAATGTTATGCTCAAAAAAAGGATTATTCTCAAAGCTGGGGCAGACAATGATTTGGATTAAATGTGTACATTTGATAATAGCAATAAGTGAATTTTTTATTGCTATTATATTGTTTGTGTACGCCACTAACAAAACTCGTATTTAATTGAGTTGATTAAGCGGCATCGATTAATGACTGAAAGTACGCCACCAACCTCACCCCCACCACCACCCCCGTTACCATCCCCAACAACAGCGAATCAACGCGATGTGGTGAAAGCCAATTGGTTACAGCAAAAAATATGTAAGAAAAGTGGTACTTTAATTCGTAAAAAAGTGGGTGTTTCATTCGTTGTGTAGTTATCCGTTGTTTGTTCCGTTCATGAACGTATGTACATACGTATTCATTGAGCAAATATGAATTATTCTATGATATGTTTGAGTTGCTAAATTTTTAACTGCTAACAAAACGCAAGTGTATGAATTGTAATAAGCGACTGAGTTCATGTTGCAGTCCTTTAGATAAGCAGAACTGGATAATCTTACATTCAAGCATGTTTTTTTCATCGAGAATCACCTTTGGAAATAATTGTTTTTGTTTCTTTGCGTGCTATTCTTTGATAAATTAAGTGTCTTTTTTGCGTGCAGAAAATTCGCTATGAAGAAGCCGAGTGGGTAGTGTTATGCGTTCACGACGATCGTATTCCGTTGCTGGAGTGGTATTATTCAGAGGAATGCGCGAATGAACATAAGTGAATTAATTCCTTTTCATTTCGTTTCTTTCTTTTACAACAAGGAAACTGTTGTTACAGTGATTACTGTCGATTCTCACTGTTTTATTGAACTTACCTGAATATCGTTCTTGTTGTGTATTTGATTCTCGTTTTATAGACCATCTAAACTGCTTGACCTGTTGGATTCAGCATTCGTCACTCCAGTTATATCGGATCAACGATCATTTATCATTGGCTTTTCTCATTCATCTTATCGAGAACCAGTTGAGCTGGTCGCATTAACTGAGTTTGTTCTTACGCATTTTGTGTGGTTATTCCATGTAATTGTTATTAGCTTATTGTTGCTATCTTACGTTAGATATGTGAGTATTTTTAGTGAAGATTGTACTGATTGGATACAAAAGACGACATCAACATTGACGCGTTTGCGATGTTTAAATGATTCGACAAGTAATGTCTATTCGCCGTTACCAGATAATTGTTCTTGTTATAATGATGATTCTACAATAGCAACGATTTATCCTGATTCAGGAGTAGTTTCCGAACATCCGTTCAATTTTAATGAAGTCAATAATCTGCTTGATAGTGAGGTACGTTTAGACGGCTAATTTGTCGATCAACTATAAAGAACCGCATGTCAAAGTCGAAATCCCTCTCCTTTTATTCGAATTCTTCAATTGCAAGGTTCGAAGTGAAGAAAAACTTAATTCTTGCAGTAATTGTTAAATGACGTATTCTCACAAAGGATAGGGAGTGAAATGCTATTTTGAGTTTAGCAATCTAAGCTAAATAATGACTGGAGTTGGGTCAGTGACCACCGAAACTTAATGTTCTCCGGATTTCGGTTGGTAGGCAATAGCAAAAACTGAAAGAGGCTGCTCGGCTGGTGGTCACAAATCGTGCGCCGAAAGGACCATGTTTTTGGGTGGTCAATGAATTGCACTGACCACCGTTCAAGAAGCACGTTTTGCCGTGGCCACCGAAAAAAATCTGCCACCGAATCTAATAATAGCCTTTTCACTTATTGCAGCAGTGGTTCGTTCAGCGTTGAATTCAATGAAATGAATGAACAATGGAGTTGGTCTTAACCCTTACTGCTTGCAGATATCTGTGTTTTCATCCAGTCAACCACAACCGTCATCCAGCACTATTCATCCAAACCATCAACTATCAGCTAAATCACGTCCACCACTACCATGGCCATCATCAACCTCGAAAAATGATTTCGATAATAAAATCCCTGCGTCATTCTCTTGCTCACCGTACGAGCATTTCTCATCAACAATTGATTCTTTATCTTTCAACAATTCAAAGGCTTATCGTCATGCACCGTCTGCTTATTGTTCTGTTGATGATGCTCACAATGATGACACGCAAAACGATGACAGTCGCGAGGCTGTCACTATGAACGATGCTCTGTTATTGTCCACTACGAATGGTGTTGTCGCTGAAAATTCGGTGAAATGCCAACGCGTTCGAAAGTTATCCACGAAAGATGTGCCACCACCATTACCGCCACGTTGTGACCATCCGAAACCCTCTTCAACTAGTCTTCAAACGAACAGTAGCAGTGCGACGACGAATCGTTCGAACTCCCCATTGAAGTTGGATGTCTCAAATTTGAACAACAACTCGAAATCGCCTCCTCTTTCTCCAGCAACTCATGTGCGTCTCTCGGCGTCATCTTCTCGCATTCGCGCCACTTCTGTTGCCGCAAGCGGCGATCTCTCTTCTCGTCCATCGTCAACGGTTCGTCGTCTGTTGCAGCAAATACATCTTGTGTTATTGTTATCACTATAATTGTTATCGCCACCCTTATTGCCTGATGCGTATTGCAGGCTGGCTCTGTTTATGATTTCCCGAAGAATTGTATTTCATCGCCCAAAGGAATTTACGGTGTCATCGAGTCCCCCACTCGGCCTCCGGTTCATCGAAGTAATCAGTTAGTCTCATCATGTATTAGCAGTTCTCCTCAGTCACGTGGCAGTTCATATCGTCGTTCGTCAGAATATGGGTATGTGGTAAAATTGTTAATTTTTTCAATGTTCCAGTCATTAACATTCAGCTGAATAATGTCATATCATGATCGTGTTATTAGAAATATCACGGTCTTTTTGTGCTGTAAAGATTTGCTGTATGTGCTATCAGTGATTATTTTTGGTCCCAAATATATTGTCAAGTTTGCTGATTATGAGGAAAGAGGAAAAGATTTTTGTTGGTTGTCATTGCAGGAAGATAACTTCATCGCCTTCACCGACTGCATCTCCCATAATAATAAAAACCCCGCTCCGAGTTGAACATGTGGAGTCAACATCACCGGCGTCGTCATTACTTTCAAAAGAAGTTCCAATGCCGTCCGACGAAGAACGATTGCTGCAAACAGTAACAAAATCAAGTGATGAACAGTCATCATCGCAAAAGTTAATGAAACGCGGTTATTCTGTACCTTCATCTGTTCCAATTCCGTTCTTCAGTGATGTTTCTGCTGTTGCCGATTCGACTTCAACGCAACGAAACGCGCCATCATCAGCGTTCATTCGTAATCATCATCACTCACTTGATTGCTCAACACCGACAACAAACAATTATGATCTTCCACAGACATTCTTATTGTCGTCGATGAATCAGTCGCATAATAACAGCAATGATAATAATTACATCAACAACATCACAAGCCCGACGTCGTCATCAACATCACAATGCACTAATAATGATAGTTTTCACTCAACAACAGCCGCAAGTGATATGATGATGATGATAACGAAGAATTCAATGACAAGTCCCCTAGTGTGCAGTAAAAGGAGTACGGCTAGTAATTCAAATGCACAAAGTGCGACTACGAACTCTAATTCAGTAAGGAATAGCTCGAAATCGCCAGAGTATCGTTTGTCATCGGTTGCACCGTCAATGCCACCGGCCACCCGAGCACCCCCACCACCTATACCATCCATGTCTCCGTCAGTAAATAGGAAAAGCTTAGGAACAGGAACGCCAGATACGAGATGTTCGATATATGGAACACCAACAGATGTAGCGAACCAAAACGTCAACAAGAATCTAAATAGTGCAGCTGACTTCATCCAACAACGGCAACAACAGCCGAGGCAAATCGCGTTACAGTTGGCGTTATGTGTTGAAAGTATTGCATTTGTGGAAATAAATGGACGAATATGGTTAATAGCATTTGTTGTTTTTCGGTGGGGGAGGGGGGTTGTTATTTGTTGTGTAGTTATTTCATTCTTAGTTTAGGTAAGTATTCTGTTTCGATTGAACATGTTATAACGATGTGCATTAATAGTTATATGGTGATCATATCATATTAGAAAAGTGACATTTGTTACAATTATGCTAGAAAGTTAGTGAATAACAGGATTGGCGGCTGGTCAACATCAAGCGATAAGCATCTCACAGGAGTACTGAATATCGGTGATGAGGTGTTGAAAGTTGGTACTACACCAGTTCAACAACTCACACAGCTTCCAGCGCTTTTTTATTCCACATCCATTCCTGGAACGCCGGTTTGTCATTCCTTTCTTTCATCCAGTATTTATTTCTATTGTTGGTGCTGATTTATTTCATTTCATATGCGAAAAAAAATTAAACTTTCAAAATTTCCAGAGGTATTTGGGAAATTAGAGCATTCCTGATAATAGACAATAGATATTTTCAAATGATGATCTTTTTAAGTGAGAATGATTCGTTTAACAACTATCTAGTTGCACTGAATAGTGCCATTCAACAACCATACAAATGTAATAGAATGAATCAGCCGCATTTTTTCTGTTAAGTTAGCCAACTGCTCACATAAAAATCTTGCAGGTTAATCTTCTAATGAATCAAATACCTTATGGTATGCAATACACGTTTATGAAAACTTCACGAAATTATGACTTAGGTATCATCTTACGAAAACACAAAAATAAAGTAGGTGAATGGAGATGTTTCTTTTCTAGATTTGCAACAAAAATATATCATATTGTTATTAAGATTGTTTTTGTACTTCTTTTTTTCATTTACCATTTGAAATATTGTTATCATTTAATTGGTCATGCTGAGTGTAATAATAAGTAACATTAACAGAATCATAATTTTGTGTATTTGAGAGGAGATAAGTGATAAAAATGGCAAGTTTCTTTGAGTGATTGAGGTTGCAGGTGGAAGGTATTCGTGAGGGATCGCCAGCTGAGAAGGCTGGTTTACGGGTACATATTTGTGGTATGAGCGGACAATTAACACAAGCTTGTATAACAAGCGTTGATGGTCATTCGCTGAATTTATTCGCAAGGAATGATGAGGTTTTGAAGCGAATTGATGCAATTCGTCCATTATCTAAATTCATTCTAATCATACAACCGTATGATTTTATCAAAGAGTTAAAAAGAGCAGTTAAAAAGCTTAAAAATTTTAGTCATTCCATGCGCGTATCAACAGATTAACATTCTGCTCACTCATATGTTTATTTACTTATTTATTCATTTATGTATCAGCAACTACAATAACTCACTACGAGTTTCTGTCTCCCGTTTATCAACCATAACGCATTCTTCCTTTCTTGACGTTCTTCTCTCCGCGCAGCTAACAATAATCATCTGTCTTCATGAAATTCTAACTTTTAGTATTGATTTGGTGAGCACAGAGGTGTTGGGCTACTCTACTGTACTGCTCAGTGATCTTTAGGGAGAGGGACTCAGTGAGCCGGAAAGTACACTTCGATTGATCGATTGAGCATGCGTCCAACGATGACTTAGAGTAGCTGTTCGAAACAACCAACAGTAAAACAATAATCTTTAAGGATCGATGATTTCAAATAGATTCATAGCAATTTGTGTATTAAACATTTCACAAGCAAGCCATAATGAATACCCATTACCATAAATGTTTTGCTTGATTAAGCATTGTTGAATATCAGTCCAGCGAATAATCGCAACAGATCGCCCGGAGCGATCAGGAAACCAAGCGCTCATTGTCTGAATAACTGTAGAATTGCATAATATCTATGCGAATATGTCTGATGTTGGAATACGAGTGCATGCGAGCAATACTGTGCCATACTCAGCAGGATAAGAAATTTGGCGTACGCTTTCCACCATCAATTTCGACAAAAATCGTTCGATAATGGAAGCGAAATATTGCCGGCAGATTCATTTTAGCTGATGATGAAATGAATTTGCCGGCGATATATTTATTTGTAATTTGTCATAGGTTGGAGTGGTTAATAGTGATTAACTGTTATTATAATTACAATTAGTACGGTTAGTTGTTATACTCATTCAGGTTCAGTTCTTTGAAATTTCGTTACTTTGTTTGCATTTCAGTAACTCTGTCGATATGAACTGGTAGATGTTTTGATTTTGATTATCCTTATCACACTCATTATAATTATGACCAGCACTGTTATTACTCACGCTATTATTACGTATCATGCAATTTTTAATTGCATGTTCGTCGTTTATTTATCTCATTTATAATATTCTCGACACATTTTGTACTACTTACCCATTTTCATACAATTATTACTCTCATCTGTTATACTCTAAATGCGTAAATTCCTTACGGTTCATAGAAATCACTCGAGTATTAAAGGTGATTCACGAAGTAGAGTGCCGTTGCCCTACTATTAGCATTTCCATTGTTCGCTTAGTCGTACGTTAGGGTTTAACCCATCAGTGCTGTTTGTCTTCAAATGAGTGCATGTAATGAATGTACATTCTTAAGAGGTACCTGCTTTAAAGGAATATTGATCGTATTAATTTCACTCCAGTTTAACATTAGTCTTTGTAAGTATAACTTACATAATGTTCTATAATAAATAATAAGCATTGGCCCTAAATTGAATTGAAAGTGGTATCGATAATTTTGAATGTACAACAGTTATTAGTTGTATTATGTACGTTATTAATGGTTGAATTTTAGAGTGAATGTTTTTTGCGGTGCATTCATTTGTATCAACGAGCGGTGTTGTCGACTAATATACGGGTTTTTTTCGCCGTATTTCTTTTTAGATTCAATTCGAATACTGATCACGTCCATTTGAATAAACATTTGCGTGTATACTTGTTTACAATATACAGATCTTTAACCAGTGTGATAATAACAAATGATAAGTATTAATGGTAACACTGACGATAGAGTGGCAGTTATTTGAGAAGATCGCTTGAATTGTTTGAATGAATGCGATTTCCAAACAAATTCTATCAACCAAGATTGTTCACGATCAGAAGTGAGATCGATTGATCATTGTTATAGAAGTGGTTGAAAATGCACGTGAAAAGAGTTGATCGATAAATTGGAATGGGTTTGTTTGTTTTTTTGTAGTCATATTCACAGAAAGAAGTACGCATAAACAGGCACTGATGAGTGGGATGTATTGTCTTGATTGAATACTTCCATGGTCACAGGTATCACCTACAATCAGAAGACAAGAAGCGGTGTACGTCTTGAACTCTGTAAACTAAACTCGCCAGCAAAACTCAAATTAAATTTGTCGCAAAAAGTTCCAATCAAATTCGTCTCAAGAATTCCGAACCAAAACTCAATTTCGTATTTCCAATGATCCTCAGAAACGCACAGACATTGTAATCGGATTAATAAGCACCAACTTTCCAATGATCACCAAACGTGCGAATTCATGAAACTCATATAAATGCTCATCAGACACACGCAAACTGTTGCATTCACCAAACTCGCTGCACAACAACTTCCATATCTCAGTCAGATTCGCTGCAAAATCTAATGAACAATTGATACATCATAACGATCTTTCGCCATGCACTACACACCCCTAGGGCTACCAAAGATCATTTTCTACCCATCACGAGTGTTCAAATAGCTCTACCGTAAGTAATCAGCAATATTCGGTCAACACTTCAACTCCCAAACATAGCGGCCCGATTCATCACTCAGTTCTATGCTCTTATAAGAATTATTTGTCTCAATAAAAATTCTACTACTTTCGTCTTGTTCTACCTCTCACGCACTCAACCAGCACCGGAATACATCAATCGTCCTCGCGACACCTGAGGTCTCAGCCGGTGAGTCGTGGCCGCTCTTGTATATCATTTTCTGTATATGATCCCCTCTTGTATATCATTTTCTGTTGTTAATACCGTTAAACTTATTTTCAGCACGTATATCAGTGCTAACTTATCTCTAAGATTCGTTTGACTCCTGTGTAAATGTTCAAACGAAAATATTTTTGCCAACATTGCTTCATCACAATGCATTCAATCAATTTCGAAACATTACCAAATGTTGTGTGATAATGGTTCTCGTATAATGATGACTGTGTGATGCAATTCACGACCACGATAAAATCTTTGGAATGCGGAATTTATCACTTTTTAAGCCTCATTTCAGTTGGTCTCTTATAATAGTCGCTGTTGTTTGTTTTGAATATGCATTCGTTTCATGCAAAAGACGATTGATTTTTCGTTTTTCGAATCCATTTCAAAATTCGTTCATTTGATGGTTTATCACCTCACTTATTCCTACGGTATTTCTCATTCTTGATAGGTGATTCAGAGTCATTTCATTGCGCAGAATTCCTTCGCAGTCTCCTAATCAGTCATTCCCTGTTCACCTTAGCGCCTGTAAATCACCTGATATTTCTGGATACTAGAAATTAATTTTGCATTTTTGAAACTTGAAACAATTTGAGTGAATGACTGAAAGAGACAGATGTTTTCAGAAACCTTATTTATGGTTGGTTGGATAATATTAGTGTCACTGTACCTAACAAGAGGACATAACAATTTGCATGAACAAATGCAGAAAGTAGTAAAAGATGTAAGCGAACCGTATGAAATGAAAATTATTGCATGAATTATGATTATGATTGTCATTGCTTGTGAGAAGAACTGTGTGTAGCCGGAGGGTTGCTTCCGAGAGATTAGATTCAGTAAGAAATAAATTTTTGGATTTTGCCGCAAAAAAAAACTTTGCAGCAGCAGTATTAGTACTTATTAGAGACTTATGAGCGACGAGAGAAGAGGCAATTTGGATGAGTGAATATTTGATTAGTTTTAAGAACAACAGCAACAACAAGCAGTACTTCAAATAGATTATTATGCTTGAAATGGACGGATAATAAATGGTCAACAGTTATGTGGCCGTATTAAATTTTGATTACTGAAATAAGTAGATTTTGAATAAAGTAAATGGTCTGGAATTATTATGTTTATGGCTTATAGATGGTTTGAAAGTTTGAGCGATAGACTGCATAGTAAGGAACACTTCTCACTCACCTAAAATTATTCAAGTGCATTTCACTCAATATATCTAGTAATACGCATATTACTGAGTTTTTTAAATCTATATAATTGTAAGCATATACTTTTTAGATTGTAATTGCTTCTACACATTTTATAATGTTGCCATATTTTTGTGTAAGGAGATAGGTATGCATACTTCAAACATATATAATGGAATAAGAAGTATTACGTTCTACATGATACCAGATGAAAATAAATTTTTAAGAGGAAAACGAGGAAATATTATGAAAAAAATTATTGCGGAAAAGTTTGTGAACGAAAGTTAATAATTTTAATCGAGCATTATTTTTGCTTGAAGAGGCGAAACCGTGCGTATTATTACGCGCTTTTAGCTATGAATCGTTTGAATTCGAGCAGTTTGAATGTTTCGGTTGAATTAAACTGCTCACTGGAAGATGGACCAGCTAGGCAGCCTGCCATCGTTAAATCGTAAGAGATAACTTGATGGTCAAGCTTTCACTTACATCATATCAAGCGCAAACTCAAATTAATGATGGAGAATTTTCATTTAGTAATCATCAATCATTAGCTGTCAACAAAAGTAATGCTAATATTACTGGCGAATTGCTTGTCAACAAACAACTCAGTTCAGTCTAACTGAACCATCCATAACTGTGCTGTTTGTTTAAGACATTCTTATAAGGCGCATGATTATTGTTAGAAGATCACTTTTTTAAATAGTACCCATAAGTAGCCATTACTACCTTATCCATATCGCTAATGTATTCGCCTATCGGCTTCACTGTTGAGTACTTGCAACAAAGTGATACAAGTTTCAAAGACACTGATTCAAAGTCCTATTCTTCTGTTTTGTTCTCGTCACATTATCCTCATTTTTAGTCAAATCGATCTGTTAAGATTAAATTCGACTTCATTTATTGCTTCAAATTTCTTTTTTTTTTCACAATTTCCGTTTTCCGTGTTCCATATCCCACACTTTGTACATCAGTCCATGCATCCATCCATTAGCCATACGATTACGGCAATTGTTAATCTATGTATTCGCTGATATTGCTATTACTACCACTGCAAGCGAGTGAATGAATGAGTATATTATGAACAAAATTTCAACATCATCCGTCCATCCCCTCATCAAGCTTGTTTATTTCGTCATATCCTCCTTGTTATCCCAACGATCATATTCCATCCTTATACGTACTTCTTACAACATCATAACTAACCTGTCTTTCTTATATCAGCAGTAGCGGTCAAAGAAGACGACACAGTTGGTCATTCAGTTAGTCAGTTTGCAGCATTATTACTTCGTTTTATTCTGACTCATCACATTAGTATTATTGTTGTTAGTGCCAGTAGATAATACTATTGGTATTATTACTAGTGTTACGAACACTGTCATTCTCATTACTCTTATTTCTGCATTTAAATGACTACATACGGTATTGCAGATTAACAGTTTAATAGAGCAATCTTTTTGTATTTCACTGAATTAGATCATCTGAGCTAATATGGTATTACTATCGCTCCGAAGAAATTCAGCTAGCTGAGTTGTGTGCCCTAAAGTGATCACTTGAAATAAAGTGAACAGCTGAATTCAATAAACTAGACAGCGCTAGCTGCATGAGAATAGGGATCTAGCAGCAGTTGATCGTGAGCAGTGAATGGTGACTTGCAAATGCTAGCCTTATTATTATTATTATTATTATTATTAGTAGCAGGGCAGTACCTATTACATAATATAATCAAGCATCAAATAAGCAGCAGTAGCAGCAAAGCGAAATAATCGTCGTTCAGAGTGCTTGTTCACTCAGAGACGCACTGAAGTGAAGTGGTATTGTCGTGCCATTGGGCGTGAGCATAGTGCGTGATCTGCACATTATCCATGCATCTATCCATGCGTCCTTCCATATTACCCTTCCTTATCCTACAATATCCCTCATAACAATCCGTCCGTTCGTCCGCCCTGTCCTGTCCCGTTGGCTCTCTCATTCCTTGTTTTATCCTCATCCTTATCCATATCCACATCATTATCCTGTGTCAAGCTTGTCTCCACCCACCAACTAATAAACCTAAATCTACCGAACGACAACCAAAGTAACCACCAACCGCCACCCATAAATCCCTCCTCCTATCCCTCCCCGCCTTTTCTTCATCATATACCTCCATTTGGCCTCGTTGTTACTCATCGTGTTCCAGTCTTTTCGTCCTCGTCTTGCTCTTATTCTCGACCTGATCCATTCGCTGATTCATTCATATACATTCATTTATTCTTATCGTTATCATTACTGTTATTGTTATTATTACTAGTATTTTGTTAATTACTGCTACTGTTGCTAGTAGTATGATTGATTATTTGATTGATCGACAACATTCATTCATTAGCAAGGAACTTAATTCATTTTATTTCCAAGGTTATTAAAACTGAATGTTACAACCAGTTCATACTGTCGCTACATTTTGCTACTGAATTTTGATCTTTGCTGTGTTTCGTCGATCAGCTAGACAGAACCACTGATTAATTACTCTTTTTCTTGAAATGATCACATCAATAACCTATGATGGTCAGGAGAAAGGCCAAAAGCAGCAACGACAAAAACCTGGTCACACATCCTCTTCACCGTCATTCCACTGGTGGCGACTACCTAGAACATTTTGGTTATATAGTCACCGTTCTGCCAGTACTACTGCTGGTGGCGGTGCTGTTGCTTCCCAACAACGGTTACGACTGAGAAAAAAACGCTCATCAAATGCATATGAACGTTACTATGCGAGTGAATCTAGCAGTAGCAGTAGCAGCAGTTGTTGTTCATTCGGTTCAGAACAAATTCAAAATCTGGAATGCCAGACGAGCACATCAGAGAATTGTTATTTATGCTGCTTCAGTTGCGAGAAGTGCATCTGCGGACAGTGCTCCGTTGGCTATGCAAACGACATTGATCCGTCAGCTAACTCTAAGCTTGAGCTTAGCAAGCGTTTATGTTCAGCTTGTAAGTTGAAGAAGTTGAGGTTGCTATCTGATGAAGAGGACAAGCACAAGCAAGAGAAAAGAGCAGCAAAATTAAAGCGACCACATCGACAGTTCAACAAATTATTTTTATTTAATTTCTTCAAGTCACGTTCATTATTCAAAAATTCCACCTCAAATTCCAATTCTGCTACGTGTTCGTCGTCATCAGAAACATCGTCACATTTTTTATTCAAATATAATATATTGACTACGCTTACATTCATCACGCTATTGCTTCAATTCAGCATGCTAACAACGGTTACTATGGCCCATTCATTGAACACTACTACTAGTAGTAGTAGTACTAACAACAGCGGTAATATAGCTGCTGATATTATTCCTGGTACAGCTTCTATTTCAAAGAATGGAAACAAGAAGAATATTGATATTTTGAGCAATATTTGGCTCAGTGATAATGATATCAGTAGTGTGTTCATTGATAACAACAGCATTAATGATCATACTCGTAACCATAATATTAAGCATTTCAACAAAAACAATGACAGGGCTGACGATAGCGAAGGAGGTTTTGTATCAAGCGATTCTATAATATCTCCTGCTTCATCTTCCTCTGCAATACCACGTCTGCAAATCTGTCCATGTGATATGCTGGATTCGTCGAAAACGGAATACGAAGAAAATTTGAAAATGGAAAAAGATCACGATTTTGGACGGTTGAAAGGAGTGAGTTCATTGCAGAGACAGCAGCAGATAATGTTGATTGATGATGAAGATAATCCAAAAAATACGAATAAGCAGTTTCTTAACAATGAAACAATAAAAGTTTCCTTACTGTTACCACAGTCACACTCACCGTGTTTGCATCGTGGACAACCGCTTTTCGAATGGGATCTTTCCGGATGTGTTGTCAGAAATTTTGAACGCTTTCATTCAACAGCGATATCGTTCGATGTGGAATCGGGTTTGGTATTCGTTGAACAAGGACGTGTTTGCTTCTATTCAAAACCGTGGTTAATCAACTATTCATTATATTGCAAAAGTGACAAGAACTTTGCGACGACTGGAAGAGGTTCTATTCATCGAGGTTCCATTCTCGTCTGGCATAGTCGATTTTCGACGACGATGACAAATACTAATGGTTGGGTATCATCATCGATAAGCAACAGTCACAAAAGTGGCGTTGTTGAATCGAAAAGACGTTCAAGAGGCTCAGATGGCTCAAACCAGCAAGTGCTGACACTAGCGCCAAGTTCGAAAGATCGACTACGACGACATCGCCGCTGGTTACGACGTCGTAATCCAGTAAGTGGTGGTGGTTCATCATTGATCACATTCCAACAAGATCGTTATGTGGTTGAAATGGCTGAGAATGCGACTGTTGGTACGTTGATATGTACCGTTCATGCGATACATTTTCATCGCGATCGTACGTTATTCTTCTCGATGGCAGCACCACAAGATTCAAGATCGGCGAATTTGTTCGTTATTGACACGCAGACGGGTAGTATCCGGTTTGTTTCACCGTCATTCATTTAATCGAAAACCTTGTTTTTGACGTCTTTTCCAGAATAACATGGTGATGACATCATTTTCGGGTAAGAACCAGCGCAGAGTGCATATGAATGAATTGGTTCATTAGAACGCATAGTTTCGGCTTGATGCCATTATCAGGAGAGATAGCAAAAGAATTTAACTGAGATATCGAAACTGTTTACCCTTCGTACCTTTTAATGAACAAAATTATTTGGTATCCATCCATCTATCAGAACATTTCCCTCCGTGTCTAATTTATATCTATACTTTTTACTCATCTTTCCCTTCGTTCTGATTCAAAACAGTTCTCCGAATCAGATCCTAGTTCAATTTAATTCAATTTAACTTTATTGCCTTTGTTTGTTTTAGTTTTAACTTGATGAGTAATTTCAAATTGCTGCACCATCTTATTATGTGTCTCTTTAATTATTAAAAGCCTAACAGCTGCCGCTTGTCCTGTCTTATCTATCGATCTATGTACAGACCTTCCAGCTGCACCGCTCTCGTATCTCATGCTATTGTATTATTATAACAATTTTTTAAAACGCAATTCTACCAAAAGTAGTAAAAGAATTACTGCATGAATAGTTAGATAGACATTACATTGCGATTCATTCATTCACATTTAAACACCCATTACCAATGGATGAATAAATGTGAATGAGAATCACATGAAGTAAATTGAAACTGAATCGTCGTTTCATGCAGAGAAAAAGTATAAAATGAAATGAAAACTGATTATTTGAACGAATCATGAAAATGTTGAAGATATATCGCTTGTGCACTCGTGAGCTCAAAGCTTACATGCTGCTGATTATTGAAGTGGTTGTGAAAAGGGATTTGTGATGACTTCTTGCGATTAATTAATGCCACTATGACGACAATTCGATGATTATTATTGGTTTTGATAGCATTGTGTGATGATTATAAGAATATATTCATTATAAGAGCACATTGATTGAACAACACCGAATTAGATCGTTATCGTTATATTATACATAGTTGCTGTTGGATGAATGATAGATAGATACATGTTTGCAAGACATCTGCCTTTCTTTTCCCTTCATCTTTCCCCATCTGTTTTTGTAAGTCTCTTTTCGTATACGATATCATCCGAACATGTAATTAAACTCGGATTTCATTAATCTCTTTGCTCTTTTAGTCTCATTCCTTAGTTGATTTTTTAGCAATCGCAACATACTTCTTGTCATTATCATCAGCATTCAGTTTATTACTATCATTGTCATTATTGTTATTGAAATCATTGTTAGATATTGTTAGAAGCATTATAAGAGTTCACTCAAATAAATTGCACAAACTACTTGAATTGAATTGCTTGTTGAGCCTTGAAACAATTGGACTTTGATTGCATGTCGTTATATGCATTTACTATGCGCTACTCATTGATGCATGCATTATTAATTTATTTACTGCAGGATTTCAGCGTCTAGCTCCTCATTTATTGACTATTACATGTGAACTTTTAATGGAACAAGCTCTTCGTTTGTTTATTATTGCCCTACTACTATGTGTTATTGCTATGTCAATTTCAATATATACGCACGAAACGTACCCTATCCCCCAGATGAGGGCCCACTAATTAGCGTAATATACTGGAGGTTAGATATTAATTAGTAGAGGGATGGATGAATAAAAGGGATGAATGCTTTGCTACGACGTTAGCATGCTTATAAGCAGTTTCGATTGCTCATAAACAAGCCAACATGATATCGGCAAAACCCGGTTTAAGATGATAGATCTAATTGTGACCTTATAATTGAGCTTGGACTCTTAATTGAGGCTGTCGTCGTCATTGTTGTCTTTTGCACTGTAACCTGTATTTCATACCTTTATTGCTGTGACTTGATTTCGTTGACATTCCCACAAATTTTTCCATCCATTTGTAGTATATTTTGTTTAAAACAGTGTTCGTGAACTTTTTTTCTCAACCAATTGCACAAATGAATTAAGATCACTGCTAAATCGCCCCGTTCTTTTCAAAATGCAGCAATATTTGTTAGCTGTTTTCATTAACGACAAGAAAATATGTGATAATTCTAAAAACTTCGTTCTGTTTCACCGAAATCGCCCTCTCTAAACACCGTTTTTGCTGAATGCTGGAGGATATTGTCTATGTAGAGAAACAATGGCTTAGAAGAGTATGACCTAGTGACCCTGTCTTGATTACTTTGAAACAGTTGAACTTTTATTAGCACACTCTATTCATAATTCACATTTATTCACGCGCCCATACCAGCATGTGTTAATTATTCATCCATGCATTTATTGCCAAATCTTAATTTAATCGTTCCTTCATAACTGCTTTTTTGAAATCATTCGTTCGTTATTAAGTCTACTCATTAAGTCTGCAGATAGCAATTAATCGGTTTACTTCAAGCACAAATGAGTTTCAAAAAGCCGCTAACTATTGAGATTTTTACATGCTCTGAATTTATTAAATTTACTCGAAGAGATTTTATTTCAGTGCTTTGATTCAGAAGTTTTATAATTATAAAAGTGAGGTAGATATTTATTGAATGAAAGAGGCTGTATTATATCATAGTATGAGATGGCGTATCGTACTGATTGGTGGATTTAAGGCTAGCAAAATCACTGGATCGCGAAGTGCTTGATAAGCATGTGCTTAAAGTAACCGCATACGAGCGATTCGAACCTACTGTATCCACATCTGCTCTTGTGATCGTTGATGTGCTCGATGTTCAAGATAACGCACCGATATTTGAGCGTAACTCATATTTTGCCGAAGTCAAAGAAGATGCTCCAGTAAGTGTTTTTTGGTGGCCGTTTTTGGAATTACTGTGATGCTTGTTATAAGTGATAAGCTTCAGATTGGTACAACGGTAGCATCGGTGTTTGCAAGAGACTTGGATGCCGGGCGGAATGGTGAGGTGCGTTATTCGTTATCGGATGATGCACTGGGTGCCAACTTGCTGAAGATCAATCCTCGATCGGGTGTCATCCAGACGGCCGCAGAGTTGGATCGTGAAATGCTGGATCTCATCCGAGTTTCGGTCATAGCTACGGATCAGGGCAGTCCACCGATGAGTTCGAGTGCTCTAGTGGAGGTCACGATTTTGGACGTGAATGATAACAAACCCATCTTTGAAATGGTTCATCTTGTTCACATTATTTGATACAAATTGTTTACTTACAGTGTCATGATTGCCATAAGATCATAGTAATTATTATGTTTGTTTCCGGAGTTGTTATAATTATCTTTTTAAAAATATTGTTGACTGAATGATTCTGTTTGTATGTCGTCATTCAAAGGGCACTGAAAAGTGACTGAATCTATTAATTAAGGATTCGTATAATGTTACAATAATGGAAGATATTGGCATACCGACGAAAATCATTCAATTGAAAGCCGTAGACGCAGACGCTGGAGAAAATGGTATGTAGATATTTGAAAATAGCTATATAGTTATGTACATGCATCAGAACATGGTCAAAATTATACAAGAATATATGAATACATAAAGTTAACCATATGCGTAATGATTAGTAGATGAGTGCGAATTGAATTGTTCAGTTCGAGTGGCAGCATTAGCAGTAACAGTCATAAAGAGTATCTTTGTAGTTGATTATTGAACTCAATTCACTGCCCAACGAGGATATCAATGGGCTTCATCATTTCGAAAGGCTGCATGAAACATCGATTAATTTTTAATCAACATTTCATTAATCAGATGTACCGCTTCCGTCATTGATCATGTATACACATATATTTCTATGCATTGTATACTTTGATATATATTTTTATTATTGCTGTTCTAATATTACATTTTCAAGTTGATGTTGTTTATTTTTCATTGATGCTATGCAATATAGAAAGATACATTCAACCTTCGAATTGAATCACATTCGCATTTCGCATACTCATCTTCTTTTGTTATTATCTTTTAGATCATTCGTAGTTATTGTAGGGATTTTTTCAGTTGTTTCGCTACTCAATAGAAGGTAGATTAATAATGTAACATTAATAACGTAGTAATGTAATGGGCTAATTTAATTAGTATTAGAAACAACTCACCAGTATATTATTAGTAATAATACGAATAATATTATTGTTATCAATGTTACTAATATTGTTATTAATAATAGTAATAATAATATTATTATTATTATTACTATTACTATTATTATTATTATCCCTGTTATTCATTTGAAGGGTATTTGTAAAAGTGAATTGGTTTCCACGAGCAAAAGAAAAGACGAAGGAAATTTACAGGTCGTGTTCACTATAGCATCGTAGCTGCAAGTGCAAGTGGTTTTACAATCGGCTATGATGATGGTAGTGTTTGGGTGCGTGACAGCCAGCTGGATGCGAGATCGAGTCCGGTCTCGTTGGTGATTCGAGCCAAGGATTCAGCACAACCAGCACAGTCAAGTACAGCCACGCTGACCGTAGATATCGTTGACGTGAACGATCATGCGCCCCGTTTTGTGGCCTCTCAACAGCAGCTGTTCATTGATGAGAATATACCGATTGGCTACGAAGTGAGTCGTGTTTTTGCGGTGGATGAAGACTCGGGTTTTAATGGCTTGGTGCGATATTCGTTAGTTGAAGAAGAAGGTGCTGATGAAGATAAATGGATGAGCAACAACATGAAGAAAGAGAAGTTGAGCAAGAGTCAAGATGGACAAGTGACAATGAGCGATAGTAATGAGACGGCGACAGTTCCGGAAGTGGGAAGTGAGCAAGAAAATTTATCGGAATCGAACTTTTTCGAAGTTGATCGAGTCTCGGGCAGCATTCGTACAAAAGCAGAGCTCGATCGTGAGCAGCGTGAAGTTCATACGTTGAAGGTGAGTGATCAGTGAGTCTCTGACTACTATTTCATTGTATTGTGTTACTTTTTTGGTTATTCATATTATATTCTATTAGAAATAATTAATCTAATGAGCAAATATTGATGCAGATTCGTGCCGAAGATGGTGGAAGTCCACCAAAATGGGATACGGTTGAGTTAAGAATACATCTTCGTGATGTGAACGATAATGCACCGTTCTTTGAGCACGATATCTACAATGTGACAGTTGCTGAGAATACACCTCGTGGCACACAGTTGATCACGGTGAAAGCATTCGATGCAGATAAAGATCAAAAAATTAGTTATCGCATTGAAAGGACTGATCGAGATCTTTTCACTCTTGTGGATCTTGGTGAACAGGTTGTGATCATTATTTACATCTACTGCAAATTAGTGTTATTAGTTTGGTTATTGCCATCAAGAGTACGGATGCAGGCTCATATACTTAATGAATAAATCAGTTTTTAAGGGTGCACTCTTGTCGCTGTCAGAAACATTCTTATCAAGCGATGAGATGCTGAGAGTTGGTATAGTAGCGTTAGATCAAGGCGGACTGAAGGGACGTTGCAGCATTATGATAAACGTTCAAGATGTGAATGCAGCACCGATATTCTTGAATCATCCGTTTACGATACGTATCCCAGAACATTCACCTCGAGGTTTTGAGTTGATACAATTGAAAGCTGAGGATCACGATCGACGGGAAAATGCTCATATCAAGTATACGATTGGTAAACAATTGATTCATTATAAATATTCCTTTTGTTATGACTTTACAACAATAATGATGTGTGTTAAGACTCGGTCGAGTTTGCAATTGATGAATCAAATGGTTTGCTGACAGTGGCTGCAGGTCTGGATCGTGAACTGCGTAGTGCATACATGCTGAATATAACTGCTCAGGACAATGGCTCACCGCCTTTGAGTGCATGGACAACCATTGAAGTTGTTCTCGAAGATGGTATTTATTAACGTTTCATTAGTGACCACCTATTGCCCTCTAAACAGTTGTTGTGCTGCATTATAAACTTTTTCAGTGAACGATAATATACCTCAATTTTTATCGAATAATTACACGATTGCGATTTCTGAAGACACTCCAGTGGGTACATCATTCATGCAAATATTAGCCGTTGATAAGGATAGCGGTGCGAATGCAATAGTGGATTATTTTATTGATGCGAATGATCCAAGAGGTTTGGGCATCGATTCGTTCAAACTGGATCGTTCGTCGGGCACATTGCGAGTCGATAAAAAGCTTGATCGAGAACAGTGTGAAAGGTTTGTGCGTTGTGTGTCCTATTGAACGGACGCATCAGTTGAGAATATTCGTTCATTTATATAAGAAAAAATGTTCCTTTTCTAACTGACGAAATCGTTATGATAATCTCAGAACGGTGATCATGATGTAGTACAATGTATTTGTACAGATTATCTGTATTATTGTCAGCCAGCTAGAACCTAAATGCCTGACTAGCTAGAAATGCGTTCTGTTGAAGGCACGTGATTGCGGTTATTGCACGAGATCGAGGTTCACCACCTCTTTGGTCATCGTCTGTGGTGAACATACAATTGTTGGACGTGAACGATAATGCACCGCAGTTCGAGTTGCAAACTTATAACTTATGGATTGTTGAGAACGCACCGATTGGTACCGTTATTGGTACATTGATTGCACGAGATGCTGACGACGGCAAAAACGCGCTTATTGAGTTCAAAATATTCGGTGGAGCTGATGCGAAATTATTCGATATTGAAAAGGTTGATTAACTCCCTCTTATTTTTAATACTGACAACTATACAATATTATGGCCATTTATTCGCGTGTTAATTTCAAGTTCTAACAGTATTAGATACATTTGGTTCGGATACCTCTCCTGAGTAGTTGACCGACCGCTATTTTAACTGAATATCATACTATAACTCACACAATAACAACAATAATTAATTCGAACATACTTCTTTCTTCAGGATCCACAACAAGAAGGTGTTGTACATATATTATCAAGAGCAACATTCGATTATGAGGCAAAAAATAATAAATTTTATTTAGAAATACAAGCAAGCAGGTTTGAAAATGCTTGAATTTATTGTCGTTGTTATTGCTCTTGTGTTTTGTGTTTCATTCATGATACATATGTGGTACATACTTATTTGTTAATGATAGTGGTTTTCTGTGAATACCAAGCATAATGGACGAATCATGTCCGACTGTTGTTCTAGTCGTATGGTCAAGAAACGTACTATGAAGAAATGTGTTATTGATATATGTTAGAAATAACCTTTTTTGAAGCTTTATAGGTTTACTTAATGCTATAAGCGTCTCAGTTTTTATGTCATGCTTCGTTGCATTTGAAGCGAATTGTTGCAGTTTTTTGTTTGGAATGGTAGTTGTTCATGGGAGTGTGATATATGTTCCGAGTAATGTGTACTTATCATTAATAATACATAGACACTACAAAGCATTGATTGTTCGACACTGTAGTATTGTAATTATATAGGATGTGATATAATTGAATAGGTATGAATGAGTGAATTTCAACTCAATTAAGACATGATCATAATGGCAATGAAAATAATAGTAATGGTCAAAATTAGCATAGTAATCGCTCGTATAATTGTTGTGATGCATAATGATCATCAATGCATTATATTATAACTGCACATGTATCCATATTATGTGCATAGTTACACATTCGTAGGTCATTTCATTCCATTTGAAGTGACCTGTCAAAAATTAGAAGCAATCGAGCAACGAACCAATTATACATGGGTTCGTACATTTTCAGTGGTCAACTGAGTTCGATAGTACCTGTATTCGTGCATGTAAGTGACGTGAACGATAATAAACCCCAGTTGCGGGACTTTGTTGTATTAGTAGCAAATTATGAACAAGAAAATAATAATGATGATAATATTGCTCAAAGACATCATCAAACAAAGTTCGAGCCACAGATCGGTGTTATGCCAGCGTTGTAAGTTACTTTTGATTGTTTCTTATGCCAAGTCAGTGGATATATATTTATTGCTCAATATTTACAACAGTAACACAGTACAAGCAGCATTTAATATATTAAGAACACCGAGGATATCAATACATTCTTCGTTTTCTGGGAGTCGTTATTCTGTGATAGCTGCAGATCTTTGAGTTTTATGCTCTTCTTGAATTTTATTCTGATCACTCATTTAGTCGTCACCGAAAGCCCCTACTGTCACATTTTTTCAATGTATGGGCGTATTATGAAAGTATTTATTGATGAATGAAAACCGATTCAAAACGAATGAATCTGTCTGAATAATGCTCACTAATTCGTCGATGAGTTTTCAAATAAATAAATGTATTTGTTAACAGTGATCCCGACCATAATGCTACTTTACAATATTATATCGAAACAAATGATGTTCTACGTGTTGAACGCACCACGGGTATGCTAAGTATGGTAAATGTTTGGCAACGTCATATCGATGCTCACTACAAAGCCTGCGTTTCAGGTACGATTTGCTTCTGTGATTATAACTGGTTGAATGTAACTATTATTATAGTTATTATTATTGTTATTATTAATTGTTATTGTCATTGGTACTATTGTTGGTTTTGTGTTTATTATCGACTAGTGAAGTGGATTAAAGGAAATTGAATGGCGACTTCTCATTGATGATTTTGTTTGCATTAAGCTATGAGAACGGAAATTGAATTTTGATGAATAAATGGATATATTATATGTGCATTATATAAGTAATCGGTCGATCGCGCGAGTTAAATGAGATCAAATGGTTATAGATTTAGAGTGAGCATATTTCTGAATAATTTCTACATAAATTAACTAGAATTTTTGCCGCGATTGAGATTATTTGAGCAGTTCAGTCGGAATAATAACGATAACGAGTGAATAATTCGTATATATGAATGAATGGAACGAGAAGTCACACTTTAACGAAATAAGTAAATAAATACTCATTAATAAACATTAATTCAAAAAAAAGTGAATTATTGCTTATAAAAGGAAAAAAAGATATATGACAATGATGATAACAGTGATAGTGGTGTTGGTAACTGTGATGGTGATTTTGATCTTGTGATAATGTTAATGATAGAGCCATATAATGAATATATCATCTTTAATGCGTTCATCGTTGAGTAGATTATTAGAACGATATACACACATATATTTAGAACGATATACACAGATTGCTATACTTGTAGATAGCTAAAAACATTCAGTTCATTCCGATGCATCAATATCAGTTTTCAGATGGTCCGAACACAGTATGTGCGCGTAGTCGTATCATTTATGTACCAGTCGACGAGGAGACTCTTCGTGAAGCAGTAACTGTTCAAATTTTGGGTATTAACGAAGATGAATTTCTGGATTTTGAGACGTTCGATCGTTTCACTTCAGCGATATCTTTGTTAGATCATCGTTGGCATCCGTCACATATCCGTGTTATCGCAGTCAGTTCTGAACGTGGCGCGGTCCGAAAATATAGTAGCACTGAATGGCAGAATACTGCTGGTGATAGTGATAATATAGTCTCCATTCATAATGATAAACAAAAAACAAATGTTACGTTTTTTGTTAGTCGAAGCAAGCATGGTGAAAGCAGCGTTGTTGAAAGGTTTGTTATCGTTGATTCATTATCACTGTTATTATCGTTTTGATTATGCGCTACTTTCATCATCTACTATTCGAAAATCAATCAATATGCCAACTGTTTTGTTCATTCAGTTGATGGTTTAACTTTTGCTTGAATTATATTTGGAGAACAACCAGCAAGTGGGTGATTGTTGATTACAAAAACCCTGTGTTTTACATATGCATGCGTGTATGATGTAGGATATCTTCTACGTGAATAACGCATGAATTAACTCTTTATGCTTTTATTTGCATGTAGATTTATTTATGATGTCTATCTGCAGTATAGTAGACATTCGAATGGATGGCGTAATTACGCTTGTTTGATTCAGCTTGTATTGTTTCTGATGAGAGAACAAGAATGAATGCAGTAGACACATATTGTTGTAGGTATTGGTTTATGGGTGGATAGTAGGTGCTATGTAGGTGTATAGGATTAGAGTTAGAAAGGATATATA